CCAACGTTGCGTGCACAAATCCCAGAATCCCAGGGAGCCATCGGCAAATCCTCAACTCCGTCTTCAAAGATTCCCCACCACTCCTCAAATAGACCCCGCGCTAAGAGGAACCGCCCTTGGCATGCCAAGATATCTCCGCTGCTCAGGCCACAGTCGCCCCGCACGATGACGTACGTTGACTCCATGCCACGGCTCTGGGCTCCTCAACCTCTGGACGTGGATCAGGGGGCGGTGGATCACGTGGCAGGGTTTCCACTGCACTGACGAATAGGAAGAGGCTGAGGATCTTGGCGCCAGTCTCGGAGGAACATCGGGAGGCGGATTTCAGCTGCGGCCCCACGGGTGTCCACGCATGTTCTAGGAAGAGGGGATGCGGGAGAGCGAGAACAGGGGAGGGTGTTTCTCTGCAAATGGGACTTGTTGGCGGGATTTGGCCTTGGATATCAGGGAGGGTGGGGGGTTCAAAGGGAAGGTGTATGCTGGAGGGAGGAGAAAAACATTTGGAACTAAAATGTGATGTTGTACCTGGAGGTACTTTTCTGGCACTCCCCGGCATGGTTTTTCATGCAGTGCGTATTCTCCGAGACATGGACGCGACATGTCCCGCCCCCAAGCAGCCAAAGAGGCCATGCAGCCAGCCATCCATCCATCCATCCATGGGTAGCAGAGACACTCCAACGTGCAATGGGGCGTCTTGGCAGTGCCCTTCGCCAAGCCACTAGGATCCTTCTTCTCAACGTCCATCCACACACCAAGAGGAGAACATCCCCCGCCAAACTGGGATCACCAGAGACGAAGTTGATGAAAGGGATGTTTCATTTCTGGAAAACATGGAACAAACCCTGTTCGCATTCGCCAATTGAAATGGAACCATTTTTGGCTGTTGCCATTGAACAAACCGATGCCTCCAAGAGGCCCTTATATGGATTGATGATCTCAGAGGCAATTCGGCTTGTTGAGGTTGTGGGGGTTTATCACAAGGCCAAGTGATTTAAGTTAACAGTCAGGGAAATGGTGGCTGAGTAATGAAAAAAGTCAACAGCAGAACACCAATAATACCCTTTGCCTCGGGAATTGCTGGGCTCTCGCGGAATAATATGCCAAGCCAAGAGCCAAGGTTTCCCACTCTAAGAGAGAGGATGGCAGTGGCATGTATGCTGCGCTTTGCGCGCAGGAAAGGCGGGTGATTTCAGCAGAACCCCTACCTTGGGGGGAACCCGCCTGGGTAGAGACACTGGGGTTAGATTTCCCGGCGGGCCAGCCGTCGGAGGAGGAAACGGGCCGGGGTTACTATATATAAAGCTGGTCGGTCCCACTCCATACATTGGATCTTGCCTCTTTCGTTCGTTTCAACCTTCCTCGGTTGGATTACTGAAGGATTTCTGCGACGTCAATTTAAGCTTTCCTATCTTTAAACCTCGAAGTGGCACTTGCCATTTAAACTCGGCTTCGTCTTTGCTTTCTGTTTCCTTCCTATATATGCGAGGCAGATAAAAGGCGCCCTCATCCCCACCGCAGATCACTGGACTCCCGTACGCCCTGTTGATACCACCCTCGCAAAATAGATCTCTCTCTATAGCCATCTCGGGTCGACGACTTACTATCTACCTATCTATCTATGTATATATATACACATAAGAGTTTCGTCTGGTACGCGATCCTTTTGTCCGCATTATTGACATTACATGTCTAGAACCCTGACTAACCACCCCCATCTCTTCCGACCTCTTTAGAGTTATATGTACGAATGGGTCTACTGACCTCTCATCTTCTCAACCCCAAACCTCACAGCTCCACTTTTTGAACCGTTCAACCCTCCTACCCTTCTACCTTGTTTGATTACGGCTAGGAATACCCAATTCTAGTCGATCTACCTATCCTCGCCATACAAGCAAGGTTTCTTCCTTTTTAACCGGTCTATCGACATATTCACTCGTTCGAAAACCCAATAGCCTAAGAAAAAAAAAAAAAAACGAAAAAATTATCCCGTCAGATCTTAAAGAGAAACCGACTATATAACTACTAAAGAGAGGAAAACGATTAAAGAAAGAAAGAAGGAGCAGCTTCTGCGTGATGGGTCCTCCAAAAACGGATGCCAAACAGGAATATACGAAACACCCCTTTCTTCTCTCCGTCAATGAGTTGGCCGAAGCCCTCCATACAAATATCGAAACGGGCTTATTGGATGCAAGCATCCCAAAGCTACAGGAGGAATATGGCGCTAACCGTCTGGACGGAGACGGAGGGGTGAAGTGGTATGCTCTGCTGGGAAAGCAGATTGCCAATGCAATGGTTCTGGTACGTTTTTCCCTCCTCTCTCCCTTTTTTTTTTTTTTTTTTTTTTTTTTTTTTTTTTTAATTTATTTTTTCTTCCTTACCCTATTACCCTCATAAAAGCGGTTTCGGGATCATTCATCATTATCCAGCCGTTCACTGCGGCTGGGTAGTCGCGCTTTTTCTCAACTGTCCACTCCGCGTTCTGATGGTCGTGTGCTGTATATGCCATGTTCTCTTAGATCGGGGATGTTGGGAATATCGAGGAGAACGTAGTTTGCCAAAAGATTGGTGGTAGATGATTTTTACTGTTTTCCTGAACATTTTGCCTGTGTGATATCCCGGCTCCCTGTTGCACAACATTCATGCTTCTCCTTGTTGAAACTTAAATTTTGAACTTCACCGTGTATACATCCTTGAGGGAACTATATAGTAATCATACTGTCTTGGACTAGGTCCTAGTCTTAGCCATGGCCCTTTCATACGGGGTCTCCGATTATGTTGAAGGAGGAGTGATTACCGCTGTTATTGTGGGCAATGTCTTCATCGGTTTCTACCAAGAATTCAAGGCGGAGAAGAAGATGGATTCTCTTCGCTCCCTCTCCTCACCTTCCGCCACTGTGATCAGAAACGGTCACGAAACAACAATCCCGTCTGGCGAAGTCGTACCTGGCGATATTGTCCAAATCAAAATGGGAGACACAGTCCCTGCGGATCTGAGGCTCTTCGATGCCATGAATCTCGAGTGTGATGAGAAGATCCTAACGGGCGAAGCTGTGCCGGTAGCCAAGGATATAGACTTCAGCCCATCTGGCTCTGAACTGGACACTGGTGTCGGTGACCGGCTAAACATGGCTTACTCGTCTTCAACTGTTACCAAGGGCCGCGGTCGTGGCATTATCGTCTTCACCGGAATGTATACGGAAATCGGAAAAATTGCACAGTCCATGCAAGGGAAGAAAAAGCGCAAAGCTAGTCGCTCCATGTCTCGGGAGAAGTACGGAAATTTTCAACCGATCAAGGGCGGTGCTCTTCGTGTCTGGGACGGCGTTGGGAAATTCCTTGGCCTCACGGAGGGAACGCCGTTGCAAATTAAGCTCAGCAAATTGGCATACGTACTGTTCGGATGCGCTATCCTGCTTGCTATTATCGTGTTTGGCGTGAATCGCTTCAACGTTACGAGTGAGGTGGCTATCTATGCTATTTCGACTGGTATGCGTTGGAATTTTCTGAATACCTTTTTGACTCTATCGTGGTTACGTCCCTACTAATATTTTATTCCAATTCGTCTTTAGGTATTGCTATCATTCCTGAATCCCTCATTGCGGTTCTAACTATCACTATGGTTGTCGGTATGACCCAGATGCGGAAACGTAAAGTGGTTGTCCGACAGCTGAACGCTCTCGAAGCCCTCGGTGGCGTTACTAATATCTGCTCTGATAAAACTGGAACTTTGACCCAGGGGCAAATGGTTACACGGAAAGCTTGGATTCCAGGAGTTGGTATTTACAGTCTCCACCAGTCTGACGATGCCAACAATCCCACTCGAGGAAAAATAGTGTTAGGACAACCCCCAGCATCAAAACAGGAGGCTGAACAGGAACGGGAGCGCAAGCGTGCCGAGCAAGACAGGTTGCGTTCTGCTGCTGGTCTGAAATTTGATATCCCGGCTGAAAAAGAGGAACGTGACCAACGTCGCATTGAGGAACGTAATGACTCTTCTCCTGAAAAGAGTGAAGATCTTGAGGAGGATGGCATGCCTGAGATGGTTCCTGAACTCGAGGCATTCATTCAATCCGCCGCATTGTGTAATTTGGCAACTGTTCGTCATGATCCAGAATCAGACACTTGGCAAACGATAGGTGATCCCACTGAGATTGCGTTGCAAGTGTTTGCTCACCGATTTGGGCTTGGAAAGAAGGTTCTCGAGACGCAATATGGCTGGAAACAAATATCTGAGTATCCCTTTGATAGCAGCGTGAAGCGAATGTCAGTTATCTACATCCGTGAGACAGATGGCGAAACTCGTGTTTTTACGAAAGGTGCTGCCGAAAGAATTATCGACCTTTGCACTAGTGTCGGAACGGGAGATCGCCAAGAGGCCATGACTCCGGAAACTAGAGAGAGAATTCTCGAGCAGATGGATTTCCTTGCAGAACAGGGCCTGCGTGTGCTTGGAATCGCGCAGAAAGCTGGTCCCCCTGATGTCCATTCTCATTCTGAAATTCCACGGGAAGAAATTGAGAAGGACTTAACTCTGCTTGGGCTGGCTGGTTTATATGATCCCCCTAGGTTGGAGACAAAGGATGCTGTCAAAGGCATGTTTCTTCCCCCCCCCTTCTTTTTCCAACAAAGATGATTCATTTATCATGCTTCAAATAATTGAGAAGGTTACTGACTTTGTTGGTTCATAGAATGTACCCTGGCTGGAATTCGTGTTCACATGTTAACTGGTGATCATCCGTCAACTGCGACCGCTATCGCTAAGGAAGTGGGCATCCTCCCGCGCAACCCAGGCACACTGTCAGCGGAGGAGGCTAAGTCACTCGTGAAAACCGCAGCGGAATTTGACGCCATGACTGACAAAGAACTTGATGCTCTACCGTCCCTTCCCCTCGTAATCGCACGATGCGCACCAGATACCAAAACTCGAATGATTGCTGCCCTCCATCGTCGCCACAGATACTGTGCCATGACTGGAGATGGAGTCAATGACGCTCCGTCCCTCCAAGCTGCGGACGTTGGTATCGCTATGGGTATGGCTGGTTCAGATGTGGCCAAGTCAGCCGCTGACATTGTGCTCACGGATGATAACTTCGCAAGCATTGTGAACGCAATTGAGGAAGGTAGACGGATGTTTGATAATATCCAGAAGTTCATTCTCCACTTACTCACCTCCAACGTCGGTGAAGTTGTGCTACTCATTGTTGGACTCGCGTTTCAGGATGAGAATAGAACTTCTGTTTTTCCACTCTCGCCACTTCAGATTCTCTGGATTAACATGTTGACCTCTTCATTCCCTGCATTCGGCCTGGGTCGTGAGAAGGCCTCTGCGGCTTCGATGCGTCGTCCACCTCACGATACCAAAAAGGGTGTTTTCACCTGGCAAATCGTCTTTGACATGATAATCTACGGTGTAATTATGGGAGCTTGTACGCTGCTCACATTCGTCATTATCATCTACGGTGCCGGAAATGGAAAGGAGGATCTAGGACACGACTGCAATGGTTTTGATAATGAGAGCTGCTATGTCGTATTCCGCGCCCGTGCCGCCGTCTTTGCCGAACTTACATGGCTAATTCTCTTCTCTGCTTGGGAATTCAAACACCTCCGCAACAGCATGTTCAACCTTGACCCGCTCCGCGACCGCAGCGAAGATCGTTACCCTTCCTTCCCATTCTTCCACGACATCTACGAGAACAAATTCCTCTTCTGGGCCGTGATCATCGGCTTCGTCTCAGTGTTCCCCGCCGTTTACATCCCCGGTCTAAACACGCAGGTCTTCAAGCACCGTGGCATAACATGGGAATGGGGTCTGGCGTTTGGCTCGATATTCGTATTCATACTTGGCGTGGAGGCGTGGAAGCTGACCAAGCGACGAACTGGCTGGTTCTCGGAGGGAGAAGATGATGAAAGTGCCACTCCTGCAACGGGCTTCCGGCGACGTTGGCCAAGTCATGAATTGGGTCTTAGACAGGGATTCTTCTCCTTTGCTCGCACGCTCACTAGGGGTAGTGAGAAGAGTTTTCTCCCTGAAAGTTCGAGGTCTAGCGTTAGTGGAAGGGATAACACCCCTTCACGCCCACGGGGTAGGACTGACCATCCTTTGGGTTCCAGGAGGGTGAAGGAGGAGGTTTGAGGGTTGAGACATGAAATATATGATATCACATTGACCCGCAAACCCCCTTTCCCTCTCTTTTATGACTACGGATCTTTAATTTCTTTCTCTTGTTTGTTCTGGGATGTTTGTTGTACAGGATACCTTTAATTTTCCCGGTTTGTTGTGTCCTTTTTATTGTTGTTGTTGCTTTGACTCGGGCGTTTTGCATTGGTTTTGTGGGACTGCTTGAGACAGATTTGTTAATAGCCATTTGAAGGAGAGGGGCCAATTAAGGCTTCCGACGAAATAGTTGTTTGATTTTCTCCTGTTTATAATTTTTTAAGAAAGGGAGAAGATGGGTTCGGACATGTGGTATATGGTTGAGCTATCTTTGAAGTAGTTAGATACGAGTCATGAGCTACGTATATACCTGCATATGTAAGATGAGTATATATATAAATATATGTGTAACTATATATTTGCTTCTGGATTCTGATTTTTTTTTAAAGAAAAACTTTCGTTGCTGCTTTCTTAAGAGTCAAAAAAGGCTGCTGCATCAGTTTGTCAGATAAGTTCAGCATTTATCTCCCAAGCCACCTTGGGAACGTGACCCTAGTGGACATTTGCTATTCTCCAGAGATCATCATTAGGCACCTTGATAGTTCGCTGAAGAAATAGCAAAACACGAATCGCGGATTATTGGTAGTGTTTGAGCGACTTCTGAGCCAATTGCTTTAGCTTTAGCATCTAATTATCGATAGTTAACTATCTCTGGCGGCAAAGAAAGGTAATTTGAAACTACGCTGTTTACATAACTAATGCCGGCCGGCCAATTGGGGACCTACCTAACTTCCAGGGAGCAAGCAGGGGGGGAAGTGATTGAGGAATTTTCTTTATCCGGCGGTTAAGATTAACTGGTTAGTTACAGGATCTCTACAGGGGCAAAAATTCAAGCTTATCTTGGCAAAGCGCTTGGGGTTTTTGGGCTTGTTTACTTAATTTAACGCCGACGAAGACGGCGTCAAAACACCCAATCGACGTTGGATGGTTGCAGAAGACACATATCCTGCCAAAGTTATGCGGCCTTGAGGTTGCATAGTACTACGTGGATGCTTTGGCCTGATCAACAACTCGTCAGCTGATAGGCGCAAACTGTCCGTTCCAATTGTCGTGACGAGGGTACGTATGGAGTCCATGTCTACAGCGAGTGCTGGGTTCAGAGTGTTTGTACTCTACATACAGGACATGGACACCGTTGGGAGTTTGAACAGAAATAATAAATAGCAGGTTGGGCTGTCACATTTCTGGGGTTCCTTGGGAATCAAATTCCCCGCCTGGCGTTTCCTGTTCAAGCAGGGTGGACACTCGATTCACGCTGAACATTAGCCTCTGGACTTCTATCAATCCTCACTGCTGAAAGAAAGGATGCAGATCATCGATGCATCTGCCCTCCGCCAGGTGGCCCTAGGACCCCTCCTCGTCAGCGTACTGTCACTATCTCGACTTAGCCAACCTGCAAGGGCTCTCCCAATCGAAGATGAAACGAATGGCATTGGCGATCATCCCAGTAACAGCAACATTGACCCTTTTGCCATTCTCGATCCGCAGAACTGGGTCAACCCAGACAATATGACCTGGGCCGACTGGAAAGCCCCTCCAGGAACCAACTGGTCGGACCCCAATAAGAAAGGCTCAGTACGCAACTTTAACATTGCACTGGTCACCGTCGACTACCCCGACATGCCGTTTGTCATTACTCAGGCGCCAGGATCGACAGTCTTCGGTAATCCGCAGCCAAATGCTCCGGCTGGAATCAAGCGTGAAGATGTGCCATCCTTTTACCGTGATTTCCTCAACAAACCCATTGATCTCAACCATGGACATACACTTCATGAGTACTGGATGACGGACTCGATGGGCCATTTTGGCGTCGATCTCACGCCTTTTGGTCCATACAAAATGACCTCGAAATCATACCAGTACGGTCTTGGCTCGGATATGAACCCGGGAGCATGCCCTCCCGGCGAGGAGTGTGATATTAATCTCCGCACTGATGCGCTTGGTGCCTGGCGTGTGGATATTGGTGACGAGGCAGCAGACTCCTTTGAACTCATCTTTATCCTGTCTGCCGGTCAGGATGAGTCATCTTCATGGCAGGAGTTTGGCGAAATGCGCTTCCAGACTCCAGCAGATATCGCTAGCGAGTTCGGGCCTCCAAGAACCGGCAATGAATCGCTGTCTAATTCTGCAAAAACTCGCTATGTCGAGTGGACTTCGTGGGCCTCAGCGGCCTGCATCTGGCCCAATGCTGGTGGCGGATCATCCACCCAAAGTGAGAGCTCCGGTATGGGTACATATGCCCATGAACTGAGCCATCTACTTAACATTCCTGATAATTACAACAATCCCTATGGTGTCCCGGCCAGGCGGGCTTTTACTGGACCTTGGTCCATGTTGTCTCGCGGAAGCTTTAACGGTCCGGGAGGCCCACATACACGTTGGCAGATCCCACCCACCCAGGGCGGCTCCTTGGGATCACTGCACACCATACGCGATAAGAATCAACTCAAACTGCTCGACGCCAAAACTCTCGTTCAGTTGTCACGCGAAGGGTTGGCCAACTCGGGCATTGTCGTTGCCCGTTTAACTGCACGCTCTGTCGTTCCTACTAATGGGGAACTGATTGGCATTCGAATTGCTATGGATGCTGACAGGTCGCCCGCTTGTGATACGAAGACTGACCCATTCTGCGACGGTGGAGGCTACAATGGCTACGACATCGAGGTTATCGACCGCATGGGCCCAGACTCCTTCACTCCAGACTCGGGTGTCATGATTAGCAAAGTCAAGACTGAGGCACGAGGTTCTTTCCAGTGGACTATCGATGCGAACCCGCAAGATTTGAAAGTCGTCGACTTCTATAGGCCAGATGGAACACAATCGATGATCACTGTTGGTGACTACCGCCAGTTGGCTGATGCCCTTTTCCATGCTGGCACCCGTTCCGGCAGTGAGTTCGAGTACGTCGACGAAGCCAATCGTCTCCACTTTTATATCGTCGATATCCACCGGGATAATAAGGGCGTACTGTCATATACAACTGCTGTCCGGTCTCTCGACACAAAGGACAAGCACAAACGTGGTGTCGAGGTCAAACGTGGCGAGATAAAATCCAGCTTTCCCAACACACCAGCTCGCATGGGCGTTATTTGTTCATTCAGGGTCCATAATACCGGTTCATACTCAGCTGCCGGCGGTGGAAACCACCACCCACAAGATGCATCTGCGTACCTGAAGTCGGACGTGTACCGGCTCAGCGCCAGTGTGAAGGGCAAAGGCTGGAGGGTCGAGTTGCCCAATGCCTTAACCACAGCCGAAAATGGAAAATGGATGACAGTGGATGTTGCGGTAGCTGCAGACAGAGGCGCTGCACTCACTGCTGTAATTGAACTGAAGGCCACTTCGGAGTCGAATCCTTCTGTCACTGCGTCTGAACGGTGCTCGGTGTCCAAGTCTTAAATCCAATGCTGAGGAGAAATTGTTCGTTTTTGATATGCTTGAAGCAGTGTTGATAACATTGTACTGTACAAAAATATACATACAGCACCTCTGGAATTATGTGCACAAGGGCCAAATTAACTATAGATAAGCAACAAAACTACAATAAAGGAAGATTTCCTCGAGATGTCGAATGAAGAGGTTTATCCTCAATGTTAGTACCCATTTCAGTAATCGTTCAAGATAGTTTAAATGGCCATACATAGTCCTCCTCAAAAGATACCGTGGTTGAAGCATCCAGATATTTTTGTCCAACTTCCATCATCGCATCGCAGGTTTGGAGAGAGAAAATTCGCTGCTGGGTCTGTTTGTCATGTTTGCATATCAACGTCAAACCTCAACATAACTAAAAATGCCATGCATGCGACATGCCGTACATCAACAGCAGAATACGCTGTGGATAGCAGCAATTGAGCGAGATTCCTTGGTCTGCCGGTTGCCGATAACGAAGGATTTGGATTGCGCTTCGGGAGGCATGGCATATCTCCCTCTCTTCTTGAATTCTAGCAGCATATAACTATCCTTGAGGATCACCGCATGGCAATCCCCCAGTGGCTTATAGGCCTCCTATTTTACCTCCGAGACTCTATCCATAATAATATCCGAAGGTAATCAAGCACCAGAAACTTCACCTCACTCCCCAGTACCCTGTCGCCTAGTGCAGGAAGTGTACTGTACTGAGCCAGGAGCAATGGCTCTCCCCTTTCGCCCCTGCGGATCCGCCGGGCGGAATATTTCCCTCCTCCCTCGCCATGTCCCGAAGAGCATAACCACACAAGTCAATAGAGTCTGGTACCACTCCTCCGTATCTACAGATGAGCTCACCCATTTCTCCTCCCTAGCTAGCAGCTGGTGGGATCCGTTGGGGCCGTCGCGCATCCTACATCTCATGAACCCCCTCCGCCATGACTTTATAGCGTCCTGTATTGCGGAATCTAATCCCCTCTCTTCTCATAACTACGAGACAAGCGACATACTTACCAACAGCAGTGGTGCGAATGGAACCGCATCCACAAATACCAACCGGGGCCTACGGTACCTCGACATAGGATGTGGAGGCGGCATCTTCGCTGAATCCCTTGCACGCACTATCCCACCACTTCCACACATAGGCACAAGCGCAAATTCAAACATAAACCAAAATTTGTCACCTGTAACCCAGGCTTCCTCAATCCTAGCTATCGACCCCTCCCCAGTAATGATAAAGATCGCAACCTCTCATGCCCGCGCCGACCCACTTGTTCATTCCCACCTTCAATCAGGCCGATTTAAATATGAAAACACAACACTAGAAGCGCTTCTTGCCTCGAATTCCCCTTCGCCCGCATCCACATCCGCATCCGCATCCGCATCATCTTCATCTTCATCCTCATCCTCGCCGTCACTCCAACAGCCCTCCCAACCCCCATCGACATCGACATCCACATCCACATCCCCATCTTCCCCACACCTGCAGTTCGACATAATAACTCTTTTTGAAGTCCTCGAACACGTCAACCCACACACATCCTCCCCACGCTCCTTCATAAAGCAATGCCTCCAACTCCTACAACCGGGAGGCTGGCTTATAGGCTCGACAATCGCGCGCACACTGCCGTCATACATTCTTAATCAGGTTATTGCGGAAGCACCATGGCCGATTGGTGTGGTGCCGCGGGGCACGCATGAATGGGATAAATTTGTGAACGAGGATGAATTGAAGAGGTGGGCTGGGAAGGGGCTGAGGGAGATTGATGGGAGTAGTGACGGTGGAGATGGAACTGGGATGAGGTGGAAGTGTGTGGGAGCGATCTATTTTCCCGGGTTGGGGTGGAAGTTGATTCCTGGGACGGAGAGGTTGGGGAATTATTTTTGGGCGGTGCAGAGAGGGAGGGCCCCCGAGTAGGACTTTTATTTATTTGGTTCGTTTGGTTATTTCGAGAGTGTTTATGAGCGTAGCTGCATTCTCATTGCATTGCCAATTGCTCTATACTGTATTATATTGTACTGCACACACATGTGCCTTCATTTCGGTTCGAGCCTATGGAAAAGGCACAAAGCCACCTTACTCTAGGTGTTCATCTTTGGATGATAAGGGTGAATTTTTTCATGTCCCTCTTTTCAATAAAAAAGCAGACATTGAAGCGTCAAACCTATCTGAATCATGGTAATAAAAGAATTGAATGTCACCTAAAATCTCTCGAGCACTAATACCACAGCAGTTGACTTAAATTCCAGATTCAAACACCTTCACAAATATTACGAGAAAAAATCTATTGCACGGCAAGAAACTCAACAGGGATGGGGGTAAATAATAATAATAATAATAATAATAATAATAATAATAATAATAATAATAATAATAATAATAATAATAATATTAAAAATATAGCGTTTTGTTCAGCGCAGTCAATCCTACGCAAACATATCAAGTCGAAGGATAGAGAAAAGGGCCGTTCAAATGCCAACCCGACTGAGGCACCCACACATACTCGTTTTCATTACCATCCGTAGAACTCAACAAACGTCCTGTCCAAGGGGGAGAAGGGGGGCAACAAACAAAATAAACACAAATGCTAACAGATGAGGACAACAAACTTGATATATGAAAAGAATACACCGGAAGTAACAGATATAGGGAGTTTTTATTTTGGAGAAGAAAACGGCTCTCAGAAGTAGCCAGAAACGAGGAATGCGGCAACGATAAAAAAAGGCATATGCATAGGGTGGAATAAAGCGTGGTATTCCTAGTGTACAACAACCCGTCGTCAATGTTCACGAGATAACGGTAGGGTATCTACGAAACAAACAACCAAATGCAGAAAGGCAAAAAAGGAAATATAGCAGTAAAAGTTAAGGGAGAAGGACGCTTCACTTTGTAGTAGGCAGCCACATCATCCGAGGGAGTTAATTTATTTTTCCTTTCAGAAAGTGGTGACATACCCCAATTAAACAGGCGTAGTCCATGAATCTCCATTCAGTTTGGGTTTCAGCTCATAGTTCTCCGGTTCGGTACTCTGTGGCCTTCGTATTGTCGAGTTGGGAAAATACATGTGAGGCGGTATTTGAGATGAGTAAGAAGGAGCAGAGGGTTCTGGGTATGAATATTCGGTTGCTGAGGCAGAATCCGGTGAGCCAATACTGTGAAGAGTTGGTGATGCCCATCCCATGCTCGTAATGTGTGGGCTTCCAGCTACGCTGTTTGGCCGGGGATCGCTGTTTGCTGGAGGTTCAACCGGCTGAGGTGGTCCGTATCCACTTGGGTGGGATGTCATGGACGGTCGAGCGTGGGGCACACTGCTGTATGTGGAAAGTGGAGGCGATGAGGTAGATGGAGACGCCCGTGGGCTGGCTTGCTGGAAGTCACCTCGCAGGTGTGCGGGAATCGGCGTATTACCCATATAGTAATCACTCATTTGGCGAGGTAGATACATGGGAGGTAATTCATTTCCGGGAGATAAAGAATGGCGTTGACCTGGAGAAGGCGTCGATTGAGTGGAACCAGCCTCTGAATACATTCCATCAGGTGGACGAACAGCTCTCTCCTTGTTTTGGCGCAAGTTGGCTTCGGTCTCGGCCGCAGCCTCCTCGATCGTCCCAGTATGATGATTCTGGTGTCGTGTCAAAGTCGTCCGACGTGTAAAGGTTTTTTGGCAATTCGCGTATGGGCATTTGTATGGCCGTTTTCCAGAATGTATCCTGCGATGCCTAGCAAGGGAGCTTGAATCACTGAAAGGCTATTATTATTGTACGAAACTCTTAGCATGGGCAACATAAGCTGTACTTTTCAAAGGCAAATTAACTCACCTTCCCGCATCGGTCGCACATATGTGGTTTCTCCCCCGTGTGAACACGTGTATGAACGGTCAATGCAGACCGCTGGATAAATTGCTTTCCGCAACCTGGCCAATCACAAACGTGGGGCCTGATTCCGCTATGGATACGCTCTAAATACAATGTCAGCAACCAAATCAACGTCATAGAATGAGGGTTAATATTCCATACCGTGTCTAGCAAGATCACTCCGACGAGCGAACCCTTTACTGCATGTTGAACAATGAAAAGTTTTGGGGACAGGTTCTCCACTTGACCTTCCATTGCCTCCGCTCCCATTTTGGAGGTATTTGACGATTCCCTGGCCGTCCTGAACATAGTCAGATCGAACGGGAGCAATCCCTGTGTGCCCTTGTGATTGGGAATGGTATTTCGAGGAACCAACTAGTTGAGGGTTGGGTTGTGAGGTAGGATGATAAATATTCGACTGATCTCCATTCTGGGGCGTTCCGTGTTCAGAACTTATTTCTGAAGGCGTTTTTGATTTCATATGAGTGGCGTGGACTAAATGTTGTTGTAGATGAGCCTCTGCAGCTGCAACGGCGGCTGTTCCTTTTTTGTTTAGAATCGTAGTAATATCCATGGTGCAAGTATATGACCATGCATCCAGAAGAAGATATACTAGAACAAAACACCAGCTAAGCCGAGATTATCGACAGTCGTTGCTCTGAGCAGATCGTCAGCCGTACAAAGGATGATGCAGAAGAAATTATCTCCCTTCAGAGAGCAGATCCAGCTCAAGAATAAAATTTCTACACCTGCAAACATTAGCTTAGTACGTACTGGTTAGGAAACCAAGGAAAAAGGACGTTTCACTGTGGGGAATGTATGGGGAAAGAATAGAGAGACGATGGTGTGCATAGTGAGTGACCTAACGGGGAGGGAAACTCAAAATACAACCATTTTTTAACAAGAACATGTTCACCATAATGAGTAATAATGATGGAATACACAACAACAAATATGTCAATAGAAATCACAGCTGAAAACGCACCTTCTGTCTTAACTGTTAAGACTTGAAATAGATATGAACAGTCAACTTATGATTTGTTAGAAAGTCTTATCTCATCAATCAAGATGAGTGTGAGGGGCGTGAATGGGTGTATCAGGCTCAGATTTGTGAGATATCGGGGATTTCGGTCATGCACAGAAGGCACTTGGATTCTTATAGTTATCCTTAGGCTTTCCGTAGCGTAACTGATTCAATACTTGGATCAGTTTATGATCAGAAGAATCTCTTCCGAAACGCGACCTTGAACAACAAGTGGCAGGGAAGGCCACAGTAATGACGAGATAAATCACGCCGTCTAAGATGTCACAGACTGCGGGACAGCGCGCAGGCGGTCGCAATCCAGCTAGCAGTTAAATGCAAGTCACACCCTTGGCCAGGGACGGGTATCCGCAGAGACTCCTTGAACTCAAGATTCTTCCACGAGACTACAAGCCGAGGTAGGGACCACGCGAAGCAATAGCAGCACAGACGAGGTTCCAAGCAGGCTATCTAAATCTCCGCAATGACCGCTCTGTGTCTCCAAGGGAAAAAAATTCCGTGGATGGATTTGTGGGGACGCTTCTCGGAAGGTATGACAAAGCTGGACAGGGCGACTCGTTGAAATGAGGGTCGGAGAAACCCGCTCAGGAAGAGCAAGGGAGTTCTGGTGGATGGAAATTTCCAAATACCCTCGTTTTGTTCAGGGTCTGGTTGCCTCTGGAGTGATGCGGGTATTGTCTTTTTTTTTTTTTTTTTTTTTTTTTTTTTTTTTTTTTGTGTGTGTGTGTGTGTGTGTGTTTGTGTGTGTGTGTGTGTGTGTGGTGTGTGTGTGTGTGTGTGTGTGTGTGTGTGTAAAGGCGATATGGCAGAGGTTTGTTCGAGGACGGAAGGTAAAAGAGGGTCGAGGTGAATCAGTTATAGATTCAATTGCCGCACGTTTTTAGTCCTATTCTCGATGATGTTTAGTGACTGGTTCACGTCATGCCAATAAACCAGTATAACAAGAATTACTAAATCGACAGATCCACCACGCAGGCACTGAAAACTATGCTTGTTTCCAGTAGGTGACAGCAGAGGAGATCAACAACCCATGCCCATCAGGTTCCCCGCACAACCAGGAGCCAGTGGCCCTTTTTCAACTGGCTTTATGGGAAACAAGGGGGCGATCCCGTTGTAGACGTGTAATATCAGAAAAGTCTGGACGATGACCTAAGGGATCGTGGAACTCAACTCACTGATGACGAGGAGGAAAGAAAATGAACTTGGGGTCGGGCGTTACAATGGAGTATGCGGGAGACGGGGGATAAAATGTCTGGCAGGTGAAGAGTCGTCGCAAAGGGAGATATGTGTTTTCAGACAGGGGAAGGGTGATGATGATTTACGTAGCAGTTTGGGATCCGACGTTGCGGCGATAGACCGGCTAATAAAGGTGAGGGTTGGTGCGGGTGGTTTTGTTTTGGTTGAGGGATCGTTAGTTAACCCTCGAAGGAGGGCGGCGATTGTCGACTAACCTTAACTATCAGAAAGTAAGTCTAACTTATAATAAGTTAACCAGCTAGCTAGCTACAGCCTACAGGACCCGTACGTACCGGCTACCAGCGAACTGAGCAGAAAGGACTAACTTTTTGCCAGTTAAAAAAGTTAAAAATTACGTCCTGACCCGCAGCCAGCACCCACAGGCCTTTAACCACAGCCCCGAGCCAAAAGGACCAGGCGAGGACGCACCAGAAGTTTTCTGGAAGATGCTCTGCTCTAGGACGGCGTGAGCAAAACAATTCAAAAATATCAAAAAATAAGCCCCTCCACGCCGGACGAGGGAGGTTCCATGAGAGTGAGATGAAGAGTGAATTAATTCTTATTGACATTTTTCTCTCGAATTTTTCCCTGGTTCATACGGAGAATTAAGAGAAGACGAATAATCGTGGACAACGACAGACCAGCAGCACGCACTCCTAAACTTCATAATAATGCTGCTGCACAACCATCAGACTAACTCTTTTCAAAGTTCTCTGGCTCAGCCCGTGCTCTTTATTTTCACAGACTCACTCCATACACCCCTGTCAGATTTCATGGGATCTGGGGATCTGGCCATATCCCCATTCATCTCCGGGCTTCATATCTGAGGAATGAAAAGAAGCATCAAGAATGCCAAGTAAGAAGGCCTCACACGCGAATCCGTTCCCGGATCAAAAATACAAACTCCAAGCACAGCCAGCAGCAGCAGCAGCAGCAGCAGCGGCGGCGGCGGCGGCAAAAAAAACACAAATAATACCACAACAAACATTGATCGTCATCATCATCTTTGGTGACTTGTCATAATGTGGGTAATGTGGAGAGGCAGAAGTCCAACGGACCCATGGCGGAAACCATACAGCAACCATAGAATAGAGGTGACCCTCCTTCAACCCAGCGGCTAGCCCGAACAGTGTCAAACACCCGTCAACGCCTGTTTCAGGTTGAGGGCCCAGAAATGTTCCATCCATGCTTCCACGAGGGGTGTTCAACCCCTGGCAAATCGCCGCCATAACCCCCGGTTTTTGGCTTAGGTCTCCGCTTCTTAGATACCCAACCTACATGTACAGCACCGATGTTGGAACGTGGAAGTCACTGTAGCTCACTCTGGGGTATTTTGACCTGCATTAATAACAACTCCCACGTCCCTTCCAACAGGTCGTGCTGCAATAATTTTTTTTTTTTTTTTTTTTTTTTTTTTTTTTTTTTTTTTGCTTTTTCTTTTTCTTTTTTTTTCTTTTATCCTTTTCTTTTTTCTTTCTTTCCCATAATTGCAATAGGCAATATTCTGGAAGGAAAACAAAAGGCCATCAACCAATAATCATGGAGCTTGGCCCGTGCCACTGTCTCAAAAATTGTTTGGTGGCGCTTGGGCTTGAAAGATTATGAACAGGAATTTGTCAAGAAAGGAGAGTGATTTCCATCGAGTCATGGATCCCCGGGAACCCGGACAGCCCGACAAGGCCCTCACTGCTCGGTCGTGATTTTGAAGCGGAGGCAGTCCTAGTTGTTGACCAAAGAGTCCTTTTTCTCCTCCCTTTCAAAGAACGTACGGTACTCCGTACATACAATACAATACCAATATCACAGCAGATGTATTGGAATACAGATCCCAAGCCGCGAACGTGACTCCCGATGGATAGCATCCTGACGCGTTTGCGCACTGTTGTGAGAAACCCAAACCCCAGCAGAGAGAATACCCCCGGGCTCCTCTTGGGACAAGGCTGGGATCATGCATTCTATGCCTCCATGGTTCACTGTGAGTTGGTGAAACTCGAAAGCAGAAACAAGATCACGTTTGACTTTGCTCGCAAAATCAATCCCATGGATTTTGCATCCTTTCTCCGCCTTTTCTTTGCCTGGTATTTCTAGAGTGTATTTCAATACCTATCTCCTCATATTGATGTTAATCTATATTGCAAAGTCCTCTTCAAAGGAACTTCAACCTTAGCCACTTCATGATGGACATTAGAACATTAAGGAAAGGCTAGTGGTTGGTGGTGGTGGTCGGTGGTGGGGGGCGGGAGGAGAGGAGGGGGGCGGGGCTGCCCCATCCCCAAGTGAATGTTGAAACATCCCAAAGTTCTACGGGTCAAGGCGGTGGAGGCCTATTTTTATCCATCTCACAAAGTCAGGAGTGCCAGAGGAAGTTGGTGTGACTTTCTAGGTTTTGAAAAGCTTATACATGGACGGAGCGGAGTACTACGATGATGTTGGCCGGGGTCTACGACAAAAAGAATGTTCTGATTCAAGCCCTTTTGTCCGCAGTAGGTACCGTACATCTGGATTCGAATCTCGTGATTTCGAAGGTCGCAGGTTGTTGGAATTGGCTCAGGAAGACTCATTACTTTCTCAAAAGTTATGTATGTACGTACCGAGTTTCTTTACAGAATCTGTATTTATTTCACAAGTGTGCCCTAACTACGTAGCCTACGAGAGAGATCTATACTGCGTATGCATCTGGGAACATCAAGTTAGCAATACCCGATGGTGTAAGACCGATAATCCAATGGATCAAAGGAGATTTACTACAACGAGCTTCTACTCAACTGACCGGCAACCCAGCTTCAGCGCTTGTCGGGTTAGTGATATTGATATTATGATGGTTGTTTCTGTTTTTTGTTTTTATCTGACTTTTTATCTGAGAATGAGTCTCAAGCAGTCATACAACGCACTCACATCCCCTAAAATATGAAAGCAAAGGTCAGATCGAAAATACGAAAGGCGATGCTCAATTTTCCTTACAGAGGCCTCCGCTGAAGGGTTGACGTGCCATCTTATTTTGTGTCTCCCCTTTGAGCTTTGGGAATAAGTCCACCAGGATCTTCAAACGTACGTGGTCTCCGTGCATGTGCAAAGAGTGCGGGTCAGAGAACCAAGTCGGTCTTCTAACACATGAAATGACGCTTCGAGCCCGATGATAAACTTTAACAGTTCCATGGATATGCTCCGACTTAATGGTTCCTTTTAAGTGATGATGAGCCTAACCCTAAGTCATAGATCCCTTGGGCATAATATGACAGACGCTAACCAGTGGTCTGTCCGGACGAGATAGCATATTCTTTTTTGAGCACGAGCGTATCAGGACCACCCAAAGTCCTTCCATCCCAACCACATAATGAAGAAAGAATAAATTCAAAGCAAGGAAATGACGGGATACAAAAACGCAGCAACTCCATAGAGGTTGCTCAGCATAGGCCCAGGGGTGTTTTCTGGTTCTGGTTACAATTGTCCAAACCCATCATCATCTAGTTGATTTTGCACAACTCAGTTTTAAAAGAAGTGTGCGCTTGTATGCTGTGATACCAAGAACAATCCAAGCAAGTATCATCTACAAAATTCTTTTAAAGAAAAATGACTATTGAAAAATCCGAATTGTATAACTATCCCTGCATTGCAATAACCACGCCATCCACACACCAACACGCGAGCGAGCCATTGCCTTTCCCCTCCCGCCCCCACCACCGCCGCGTACAGAGTAATTAATGCCGTATCAAAAAAAAAAAAAAAAAAAAAAAAAAAAAAAAAGAAAAAAGAAAAAAGAAAAAAGAAAAAAGTGGTTATTGGTCCACTCCATTGAAACCCCTGACAGCCTTGTGGAAATCTTGAATATTGGGTCGTTTGAGGGGTGGGATTGTTCAAGCGGCTGACCAGTTCCAAGAGCGAAACCCGCCCAAGCTAAGCTTCCAGAAAGGCTTTAGAAGAGTTGTGACGGGGACTTACGGGGACTTGCAGGTTCTAGCTAGATGGCTGAGGACGGCTATCATCGTGCAAACTAGATCTCATATGACCTTATGGCCCGCCCATTCGTGGGGCGTCGTGTGTGGAACCCTAAGTGCGAAACCCCGCTAATAGGAGTCCGCATTAATGCATGTGCTGTACGGAGCACATACGATGTGTATTTCCTTGTATCTGAACGCCTTTATCCTACACTAGAGGGGCTGTTCGGGTCCAGGAAGTGAAGAGTCAAAGAGCGGCGAGGCTGTGTTCTTCTCTTGCTTTTCTACCTTTAAAAAAGCCCTTCAGCACAGACTACATGTCCAAATTCTTTTGCATAGCCAAATCAATGCGCTGGGTTTTTCAAACGCCTGGAATGCTACAGCCTTGGCGGTTATCAAGTGCTTTTTTTTTTTTTTGTCTCCACCACTCTCATGAATCCGATAGTTACACCTTATCATTAATCTGAGCATGATAAGCTATTTCTTGCCTAAGTGTTATTTCTCTTCTTCCAAAGGTTGGTAATGAGAAAAATGACAGCCCTTGTCACAGTCTCGTTGTATCACCTACAGATGTATTCATGGATGGATAATATATCCGCGCAAGTATCCATCCATGCACGGATAGTATTGCATCCATTGCGCAGGAGGGATAATGACAAGAGACCCTGTTACACCTAAGAAAGATCTCTGATTCAAGCAACAGGTTTCAGCTGGCAGGCAGATCTGCCACGGTCTTGCATGTAATAACTACATACCTGAGGGTCTAGGCGGCTTGTTAGCTATCCCTCATGGAATAGCCCTCAATTATTCCCAATATGCCAGATAACTAACGTTGTTCTAGTTCATGCGTCAAGTCAAGGGCCTTTTGCACCAACAAAAGGGGGAGGGGGAAGCCTCCAGAGCTGGTTCCGATACCAATTATGCTCCCTCTCTCCCTAATAACTTCTTGAATGGCACGGCGTACGGGTGGTTATTTTTCTGGGAAAAGGTTTTGGTTATCTTCCATTCTCAGAAGAAGATGGTGGATACTGGCCTCTTCTTTTCTTTTTCTATCTGTGTTACACTAGCATCAGGAATTCCGCCTGGATGCATGACTTTAGCAATCAACGTGATGGAAACGAATACGATGTGGCTTTATTTTGGTGGGACTGACAATGGGAAAATTGGGGGTTGTTGTTGGGGGGGGAGAGGTTAAAATCTGGGTCCCGCGATTTCTCTTGAAAGTCAGGGATATCGTTATCAGACAATCATCCACATGTTCTAGTTGCAATGGATTTCTTCTCACTCTTCTGACGTGATAGTTGCTTTTTATATCTGCCTTTGTGGTTAACCATAAATGCAGTTCGAAATCTATTCAACGCCACAAATGTTATGCTTCGTCGGATAAAAGAAAGTGCCAGCAATGTAGGGAACGCGCTCGAATTTTATTTGCTGATGCTATATGCAAATGTCCTCGTTAGGTTCTTCCGTCAATTCTTCCTTCAACACTTACTCTTTGCTCTTCCAATTAGGGTCCAGGGGCTGACAGCAGAAAAGGGGAGCCTCTGCTCCGCCTTGGAGAATACATCAGCTTCGAATCTTTGCGTGCACTGGGCCGGGTTGCTTGGATACATTAATGATAGTTAACTGATGATTAACTTCTAGAAACATAATGGAAGACTCTTTTGACGCCCCATGGTGTCTCAAGATGTCGCCATAATACTGCATAGGGCACGAGCATGTCACAATGCATCCTGCAACCCCCGACGTCCAATTAGTTACATCGTCTCAATTCTCGCCTTTCATATCTGCCCCCAGCATTTATCAATGACTGGTCTCTGCTCTCAACCAGCGCCAACTAATAGTAGTTATCATATCACGGCCGGTAAGAATCAGGCTTTTCTTCTCCGCGCCTTCGGAATTCCAAGGTAACAGTGTTCTCGGTAACATCTCTATTACTGCTTCTTCTTCTTCTTCTTCTTCTTCTTTCTTCTTCTTCTTCTTCTTCATCTTCTTTTTATATATATATATATATATATATATTTCAATCTTAACAGTTATGTCATCAGCGTTCATGACGGATGTGAACGAATAGCTATGGTCTTTGTTTCACCAGTCAGCACGATGATGCTGCATCACGCAAAAGGGGAGGTTTATGAGCCAAACAGCAGCATGTGTCAATAATAATAGTTAACTTCATCATATCACGTCCAGTTTCCAATTGCCGAAAGGTTCAAGTGCCGCCCGGCTTGGGGGACAATCAGCAGTCTGGAAGCTGAAGGAAGATGATAGCCAGGCCACGTTATTTGCCTTCTTCAATCCCCATTCTTGAGGTGAAAAGCCTACGCCCAGTGCGTATCAAGAAAACCTCAGTTTTAAACTCCCTTTCTCTGAAGTCTCAGCCACTATTATGTTAAGATGAATCTCAAGCTTCATCATTTGTTGTGCGTTTTTATATTTAAACTTTTTCAAACCGTTTCTCGAGTCCTGGCCAAAGGATGCGACGACACAAGTCCGGTTTCAGCCCCCGCCCCACCGCAACTTAGAGTTGTTCCATCGTCCTTCCATGACTTTTCCACTGAGAAGTGGTTGCCAACGCTAAGCCACAAATCAGGAATAGTGTCTATATTTCCCATTCAGTATCTGTCTCCACAAGCCCCGGGGTGGAGAAGTGAACAAGGAATACGTTGAATGGTAAAACAGGTTGTGTTGAGAGGGAGGGACAAAATGTTCTCAAGTAGGAACCTGAATGTAGTTAGTTAAACCTTGGGCTGGCATTTTACAACTGACCCGAATGGCACTTGTGAGAGGATCAATGCACGTAGTTGCATGGTTAACTTAAACATACAAAGCCCTTGTGGGATTACATGGTTTAACTAAACATACAAAGCCCTCGTGGGATTACATGGTTTAACTAAAACATTTCTAAGCCCATGTGGGATGTAGTTTTCGCATGGAAGATCAAAATGCTGCACAAATGCTGCAGTTGGGCCCATCTCATTTCTCAGATCTCACTCACACTATTAGCCAAAATAGTGAAATCATACTCCATACATTTTGTAGTTATTATTAGTTACCTTGAGAGAATTTTGTTCAAGGAAATAGTTAAAATACCAGCCCAGAGCCTAGAGGACACTAGTTAATGGATTGCTCCCTCAAATTGACGACAAATCCTGATCTTTAAAAATCTCGTTATCGTCATCCAATTGCCGCCCCGTACTTTTAAAGTGCGGAGCCTGTTTCCACAAGGAAAAGGGCCCCCCCTTTTCATGGAATTTGGGGGATTTCGCAACCCCGGTTAAGTATGTTTTTTTTTTCTTTTTTAGGTTGTAGAAACATGGGGCAAAAGGGGGCCTAGGGTTTTTATGGCCGGAATTTAAAAGCGTGGTTAAGATTAACAATCACAATACAGGTCAGTAATTCGTGGTCACCCATAGAAGAAACGTAGACAGATAGCATTTCATTACTATCACCGCTCTAATTTTAGTTAAGCAGAACCTTGGGCGGAGGACAGGAGTTATTTAGTTGAGCAGATTACAGAACCTTTTCCCTTCAATCTTCTTGCAACGTAAGAAATACACTAAGGCCGTCTGCAGTGGGTTCCAGGTTTGAAGGACAGCTTCTCCCGGAACATGACAGGACAACACCGACTCCTTGCATTCTTGAATCTGAAGTCACCTCCAGACTCTTCTGTAGTGTATTTCCTTTTCCCCAAACCTCATACCGAAAACAGTTCTTGTGCGGTGAGGAAATAGGCATGCTTTTAATGCCGTCCCTGCAGCTTGCAACACTCCTTGGAGTCAGAGTGCCAGCCAGGCATAGAGCGGAGCGGACGATCAAAGACGGATGAGAATGTTTATATTGATTTGAAGCAGATTCATTGCCAGACTTTGAAAGAAGCCTAGGTTCATCTAGGCCGGTCTATGACTTTGACAACCGGCCTTTCAACTTCTCTGGTTTATTCGCCGGATGCGGGTTCAAAAAGTCAACAACTGTTGGATCCCTCTCCACTAAGAGATGCACATCATCAGTCTGGATAGATAATTCTTATGGTCCCCCTTCACACACACAAACCCCAGAATCCATCACAGCCTTTTATCTGCTTCTGGGCTCAAATTTTCGTTCTGCCATCGCGATCTAAACCTGGGAGGCAACACTATAAAAGGTTTCTTGTCAACCAACACCACGTTCCCTTGGTATTCACGCATCAAGACCTCGCCCCCCACGGCATATGATTGTTGATGGAAGGTGACACCTTTTGGCTATTCGATTGGGATCATTCCGGATGGTATTTTGTTTATTTGTTGTTCTGAGAACTTATCAAAGCAGAAAGAAAAAAAAAAAAAAAAAAAAAAAAGGTCCATGTACCTTCCAGTTGGATGTTGTTCGAGGTTATTTTCTCAAAACACACACAATGCACTTGAACAAGCCAGGATGCAATTCACCTGACACCCACTTGGTCGAGAACTGAAGTGCTACAAGAAATAGCTCCGGCCTGTGCAATGCAATTACGAATGCCAGGAATGTGACTTGAGTTTGAGTCATATATACAGTGTCCGTCTGAGCATCCGTTCTTGGCCACGAGGCTACCGAGTGAGTTTGCGGGGTGGAGTGAATGGAAGTGGTGGTTAGAAGATCGGTCATTCCGACTACGAACGGGTAGTTATGCATTCGACGTCGGTTTAAGATTTGTTAAACCGGGGGGGGGGGGGGGGGGGGGGGGAAAGCTTCGCCGCCACCCACAACCCAAGTTATCTATGGATCTAGGTTCCATTGATATAAATACAACGATTTTCATCAAGTTGCAGTCAGTCTACGCGGGTGGCCAAATGGATCTAATCTCCAAACTGTCGATGCTTAGCAGGAAACCGTGGTTGTACATGCTTCGGACGTTGCCATTGTACCCGTGTTGTGTTCCTTTTCAACAGTCATAGTCATATATGCAGGTAACCTCTTCAGTCAGTTGTTACTTCCTGGGATATTCAGCAACGGCCCCAGGTAGCAGGGGATCCAATAAGCCCATTCATCCGTCCTCGTATAGTGCCTTGCATATCCGGCCTTTGAAGAATATCCGTGAGTTTCCTGATGGTGATCACTTTTTCATTGCTCTTCGTATCAGTTATCCTTATCCAGTGTCGAGTGTCCGCAAGCTACGAATCCAAAGGATGTATCCGCATGTAGCCATACCGGTAGAATCCGATTTGCCCCGTATCAACGGGTCACGCGGTATGCCGCTGTTTTGTTTCTTCAGGTACCTCATATCTGTATATTGGTGTCATATCCCCAATGAGTGCCGGTGGCGGGCGAAGAAGAACCTTTCAATACTCTCGAGGCCTGGTCTCCACGGGTGAGGGTAGAAAGTAAAATTCGAAGCAATAGGAGCAGCATGACTTGAATTTGGAAAATGTAACCCCACAAGTTGAGATGTGCTCTTTGCGGGAAGTTATGGAGACTTTCTTAGCTCATTCATCATATGTTAATGGGATGAATGGTGGTTGTCTCCAATGTTCAGTGGAAATTAAGTCCCGACATGACGAGACAGGCCATGTATAGAAAACCGCGGCTATTTGAAATGAACTTTGCGACGATTGGAATTAAGCCTGATTGTCGGAAATAGTAAAGGAACATTCAGAAGAAAAACGGATAAATCTATGGAATTAAGAAAAATGATGTCAACAGGGAACAATAATGAGTTTACTCCTCCCACGGCCGCGTCCCCCACCCAGGGTCCTTTATGCAAGAATGCATACCGCAGGCCGCAAAATAGTTCCTCAAAACCTCCTTTACAGGTGTAGGATATGGGAGCATGCACTTCGAAATAGAAACTGTTTTCCAAGGTTGTTTCGGTATTTTGCAAATTGAACAACTTGGATATGCAAGCTAGGCAGAGGGTAGTTCACTAACCAGGGATGTGTCGGTTAGTTTCTGGCTGAGCCGGGGCAAAATGAGAATGGTGATGCTAGTTTTCATGGGCAGCTGTAGCTTATTAATCTAAGATGAAGGTTAGAGATCGTATTGACTTTTTGATTTCTATCAGTTTGTAAAACGGAACTGAAAAGCAGTATATCATACAGAGCATAGGTTCCTAAAGAGGCAGATAAAGCAGGGTAATGTAGCCGTGTAATCCGTCAGCTTACAACGTGCCCGCAGACAAAAGACGTCAATCTGTAACGCTCAAATTTAATAATGGGCCAATGGGGGCTAACATTTGTCTACACGATGCCCCAAAAGTGTGTCGACATAAGGTATATTTTTCAGGAAGAGAGGCTACCTATGCCGTCCAATCATGCCCATAACCGTATGCATGATGAATCATCTTGGAAGGATAATGACGCATTTCAGATGACCTCGTCGACAGAATCCCAAAACGCAACACGACCTCGGAAATAGTGACGATGATGGAAATTCCGATGAGAATGATGATAATCCATGTTTGCCCTGTTAAGAGTGTAAGTACATGTGTGTTTATATGAACAAAATTTCTCAGGACATGGGGGTTGGAAATGTGTAGGACATACGCGACATCTTATTATCTGCTATGGAATCTGATAAGATCTCTGTCAAATCGAGAAAGACGCGGCATCGCTCGTTCAGTACTTGAATGCGAGGCTTGATTTCCAGGTATTCCCGCACGGCAATGTACAGGGGATGCAAAGTCGGTTCGCTATCCCAGAAAAAAGAGGGCACGTCGAGCATATTCGAAGCTATCGGGTTGGTTTTCTTGGTTACACCTCCATTCAAATGATCCATTGACCTGAACCGTCCGTAAACCGAGGTAGGGCATAGCAAATACTTACATAAATTCACCTGAACTCTACACTCAAACAGTTTCCCCAGGATTTGAAATACCTCTTGCCTCTTCATCCCTAGATGGCCCGTCAACGCCAGCCTTCGAGGCACATCTTTCGCCTCGGCCATCTGCCGTGCCATAACTTCCTCAAAGAAGCTCAGTTTCGTGCTCTGAGCAATGCCATGGCTAATGGCAAGCTTGATCATATGGTCCCCACTGCGCAGTGTGATCATGTCATTGTAAACACGGGGTCGGGAAATCTGTGATGAATACTCAAAGTGGAATTCTTCAGTCTCGAAGTCCTCTTCGGGCAACGGAGCTGTGGCGAGAGGGATGGGAGCACCGCCACCTTTACCTGATGATGCGAATGCAAGATCGGCTAGGGCATCTTTTTCCTCCCTTTCGGTGAAGTTCCAGAAGACGACAACTCCGTAGCTAAAGAGGAACATTTCTGCGAACGTTAGGGCATTGGGTGGGATTCTGGCCATGGAAATTGATCCGGGCATATTATGTGCATCGTCCTTATTTGCAGAGTTGTGTTGACTTCCTTGTTCCTGCTGCTGACGGGCTGCGATGCCATTTGGCCCCGCTTGTCCGTCAGCATCACCTTCTCGCGAGTTTGACCTCTCTCTAGATCCTTCGCGGTCGAATCCAGTAGCTTTGACGGAATGCTCGTCTTCTTCCGTGTAGTATTCGTCATGGTAATCCCTCCGCTCGTTCCTCTCAATCTCCTCATCTAAGACAGCTTTGCCCCCCGCACTTTTCAGAATCGGACTACTCCGAATTCTATAACCCCCCTTCCCAGGCAATAGTGGCAAATGGTACGCAGTATACAAACAATCATCGTACAGTTTCGTCCTCGCGCCATGGGTTTCCTTCACAAATGCTGCCGTAACGGTTGTCTTGTAACCCTGTGCAATACAATAGGCCGTAACACGAGGAAGCTTTTTCGCACGGTGCGCCTTCGGTAAACGCTCTGCATAACTCTTAGCCCCTTCAGGGGGTACACGACGGCGTTTCAGACGCTCCTCCTCTGCTAGAAGCGGCGCAGCATCATTTTCCTGATCGAAATCCCCATATTTTTTCTGTTGTCTTTGCTTAGCCAAAATCCGGCGTGTCCTTTCAACAGGAGTCTCCTTTCTCGTGGGCCCTGGTTCCTCATCCACAGGACCATCAAGTCCTTCAATATCCTCCACATCTTCCACAAGTTCTTCTTCCTCTTGCACTGTTTCCGGAAGCAACACCAGTTTCTCACTGACTTTCGTTGAGCGAGGTGGCAAATGCGGCAAAATTGCCAGTCGGCCCGCCGTTCTCAATCTTGGATCCATGCCACTCTTTCGTCCCAATTCAGTTGATCCCATTGAGCCCGCCAGAGCGCCTGGTCCACTGAGTCTCGTGCGAGGTCGTGCTCGGAAACCTAGTGGCTTCTGTCGTTGATGCATGGACGGAACATCTGAGGTGTGCTGGAGGACATTGTCAAGGGTGACAAAGCGTGGAGAAGCGGTGTTTTGTATCTGGGGACGTCGGTGGCTGTATGCTGGATCACGGGAGTCCGTAACCTAGAATGAAATGGTTAATAGTCTTGTCATCTCAGCTTCACAACGCTCTCACGACATTTAGAGAGTGGAGAAACATTAGTTTTCAAGGACCGGGTATATGCCCATTGGTTAGTGACCTAAGAAAGGAAGGAGACGTTAGTAACCCACAAGCACTGTTGGACCGCGCTCTCGCTTCCCTTTCCCGCTCCCGGGGCCTGCTCCTGGGTAAGACATGGTTCAGGTTATGAATAGGGGTGTTGCGTTCCCAAAGCCCCTTTGTATATATATATGTACCCAGATATATCCTTCTCCGATATCTGTAGGCGCCCTGGCAAGCTAAGCAGCTAGATATACCTATCCCTCCAGCCGTATAATTCTAGCAGGATAAGATTCGAAAAAGTCCAAGGAACCAAACAATCGAGCTCGGTAAACGGAAGCCCCGCGTTGTCTCCTTTATTCTTGTCTCCATCCACTCTCTCCAATTATCCTTTATTGTGAATTGGCATCGTCTAGTGGACGGCCAAGGATCGCTTCACTTATGAACTGGCGACGAGATGGGATAACCGTTGAGGTTGACGTTGAGATTGACGTTTGACGTTTGACGTTGAGTCTGAACTCTCTGCCAATTACGTTGCCAACAATTTGACGGAGGTAAAAATGACGAAGCGAATTTTCGATCAAAGGCTCCAACCCGAGTCCTGATTAGCGCGGAAGCTAGGCGAAAAGTGGTTAGCTAAGGCTCCCCAGGATCCCGAGCTGTTGGATCACATGATGTTTGTCATATTTGCCCATGAACATTTCTCACTTTGCAGTGGTATAACCATAGTTTAATTACCGAACTGATGAATGAATATCTAGTCAGGAACATCCTAGCTTCAGGCAGGCAGGTTATCATCTTATTTGAAGTAGAATAAAACTCTATTTAATAACTTTTATAGAGTAACTACTTGATTTTATTATAGTATACTAGTTTTAAATAATATAAATACAGAAATCTATTATAAGCTTTGTATAATTGAAGAAAATAAAACTTTACTATTTTATATTTTGCGAAAATGATAATGATAATAATAATAATGATAATAATAATAATAATAATAATAATAATAATAATAATAATAATAATAATAATAATAATAATAATAATAATAATAATAATAATAATAATAATAATAATAATAATAATAATAATAATAATAATAATAATAATAATAATAACAATAATTAAACTATATTATATAAGAAATTTGTTAAAATAATTTTTATATTTTAATAATTTTTATTTTAACATAAACTTATTTAACTATTGATATATTAATGGAAGGAGGATGGAGCTTTCGCCAGGACAGTGAAATTGTAGAAAAATGCTCTCCTTTCCCTGTGGATTTACTACTGTTGTTCTAATGAACTATCTGAGCGGTTTCTTTGGTTCGGAACTAGATTACCATTTCTTTTATGAACATGTGTAGTGATTGGAACGTCTATACCCTTTCCAATCCCCCTTTGAGGTGGCCGGCTCTCTCTCTCTCTCTCTCTCTTTCCTCTCTTCTTTTGTTCTATCTGGTTAGACCAGTTTCTAACACCAGGGCGCCTCCTAGGTTTTCCTGATGGGTATGAGGACATAGGCCAGGAGAAAACCGACGAATCCTTACCGGATCCTTCGACCGCCGTAGAATGCGGCCTGGTCGGATCCGCCGGCACAAAGACTCTTCCTGGCGACGGCAGTTCAACGCCCGTACCGGATTCGATTCCACAGGCTGGTTTATTGAAGCGAGGCCCGGATCAGGATACATTGCATAGACGACGAGAATGGCCCCAAAACAGTCAGGGTGATGGCCCGCTGCCCGACGATCCGCCGATCGTGGTGGGCTCTGACGACAGCACTACGGACGGGTCCAGTGTTGACAGCACCTTCACATCTCCCGCACTTTTAGCCGTGCAACATCTATATCTTACTCTCCTAAGGCGGATGGTGGAAGCGACGAAGCCGGCATCTGGCACTGCTAGTGGACGGTCTAACCCGCTCAAAAGACAACGTCGGCCCGGGGTCGGTACCGGTGCCGTCGCGATCGAAGTGCCAGTCATCACGGATCGCCTCGAAGAAGACATAAACTCGATGCGGTACGAGAATGGGCTAAGCAGCCGACTCCGGACCCGACAACGGAAGACCCGTGCACGATCGAAGCGCGAGGTCCCCGATACCCAGGACTGTATGCTGCCCGGGAAACACTTGCAGTGTGTCGAAGACGACACGGCCATGTCCGACACCGGTGGCTCGAGCGCACACTCTGGCGATACAGATAATGGCTGCCGTCCGAGCAGCGAAGAGGACAGTCCAACGAAACCGCCACCAAAGCGTCGCAGGCTTCCCACTCTGCCATGTAAAGGAGTTGCGGGAGAGCCGCTCAAATCATGACTATCCTTAGACTTCACTGAGTCAGTCAAAGACATGCTGTATTAAATGACAAAACAAAGAGAAATTCACGCTATTGATACACTGAATCTTTATTAGTTTACAGCATCTGAGTTATATTGTGCAATATTGAAGTGTTTCAATCATGTTCTGAGGTAGATTGAAATTTGGTTTCTTCCACCGTCCGCCGTCTGGAAAGACAAGGCGCCGTAACCGGTTTACACAAGGGATCAGGGATTGATAGTATGGGGTGAAACTATTCTCTAAAATCCTGAGAAAGTCACCTTCATCACTAATCATCCCTTTCTTCTCATTGGCCAGTTTTTCAGTGCTCACATAATTCCACTCATCAAAATGCTCAACAATCCTTCCCTTCCCTGGGCCATCATAGTGAATGCATATCCAGAACAGGACCCAGAAGAATGACTCCAGATCATGCATGAAACAATGCTTTTCACCATACAAGACACCGATGGCCATGAATGCTCTGGTGCCTGTCTTTCCCTGTGTGCCCGAAGACCCATCCTGTTGTGTCTTGATGGCCAGGTCAAGGTCAATCAGAAAGGCAGGCCATGAAGGGTTATCCATGTCCTCATTCACCATCAGGTTGTGGGGGGAAATGTCACATTGAATGAGACCAGCCTCATCATGGAGTGACATGTATCCTTCAATACAGCCGGCTAGCCCAGTGAGAAGTGTAGCCTTAGAGCTACTCTCATAGATTGGTTTCCCATAATCTCGGATAACAACACGGCGGTGAACTCGATTGAATGGAGTAGAGCTGCCAGCAGATGTGAACAGAGAACTTGACTGAGTACATTTACTTGGGGGAGGAGAAAATGCTGTGTTCATGCAGTCAAAGGATCGCTTCTGGCCGGTGATGTTGCCCTGGCTCTGTCTTCTTTGAGATCTACTATCCCGCACTGTCACCTTAAAACCACCCTTCTCATTCTTTGAAATTGGAATACTGAGGCCCTTCCGGATAGTCAAGACATCATCATCCTTGTCATCAATGCGAACGGTCTCATAGTGATAATACCTTGCGACATTCTTGACCCTCTTCATCATTGTCTCTCACAGCAATTCTCCTTCCTCAATGCGCTCTGGATACTGCCAGGAGTCCTTGACAACCAGCGGTGTCTGTGATTCGTCTGTCTCACAGTATGCCTTCCAGCATGTTGTGGCTCGCCCAGCAACACAGTGTGCTCGTCCAACAATCCCATAAATGATCAGCCGTTCCTTTGTACCATTCTTCTCAATCTCAATATACCGTTCAGTCCCGGTCGCAACAATGGTGGGATCAAACCCAAGTTGCTCCCTGCTCATCAAAAGGAATCCAAGGACAACAGACACAAATTGAAGGCCGTCCTGATTGATATTGAACTTCTCTGACGTGATCCCACCCAGGCGGTCAAAATTCCATAGTCGCAGATATGGCCTGCAGAGGGTGAACCCAAGCATGAAACAACAAGTGTCCTGCGCAGCAAGAACCTCTCTAGCATATCTACCAAGATCAAACCATGCACCTGATTTCCTGTTGTATTTCGGGTCATTCTTTAGCTCCCTTGGCACCAGGATCTGCGACCAGTGGCATCTGGAGTCCTTTGTGGCCATCAGATCATCAACAAAGCCGACATCAAGCTTTCTCTCCGCGACAGACCTCTGTAGTGGTTGGCTTGGCTGTGCAAGAGGTCTGTGATCAATCTTCCAAGACGGCTCTTGTGCTTCAGCTAATCGTACGAGCTCAGTGATGGTGTTAGCCAGCCATCTCAGAACATCTCTTTCTGCTGCAAGTGCAGGCCAGCCCTGCCAGCCCTCCTCTTCACTGTAAAGTGGGCTGTCTCCCTGCTTGCAGTCTTCCAACACTGCTTGTGAAACTGCAGTGAGTTGTGGAATGTCTCCAAAGTACGCGTCAACAAATCCAGGGAGGTCAACGTGTATCTCTCCAAGCTCCTCCTTCAGCACAATGTCAACGTACCTTAGATATTCTGCAGAATGACGAAACTGCTAGTGTTGCGTAGCCACGGCGTCTGTTGGATCGATGATGTAGGATGAGGAGGCGGCCGGGGGGGTGGCTCGTGAGGCGGTGTCAATAAGACCAAGGACGGCGTTCCAGACATTGAAGTTCCAGGTTGCGACTTGCTGGGATCCAGTGGGGGGAGGCCTTTGAATAACCAGGTGCACCAGCGGCCGGTAGTCGTCGTATTTCAAGTTTCCTTGTGCCTGTCGGAGACGCCTGACTAAGTGTGCTAGATCAGACACCATATCCCCGTTACTCATTCGCGAGCGAAGGCTGTAATCTGCATCCTCTCCCTGTAGAGCAGTGAGGAGTTTTGAAATCGCATTCCGATAGAATTGGTCAAGGCTCTCATCAGCACCATCATAAATTAGACGCGACTCATAGATTTTTACAGCTTCCTGAAGCGCTCCCCGTAAATGATCGACTGAGTTGGTTAGAGGATTGTTCTTGATAATGTTGCGATCTTCTTGTGAAAGTCCCGCCATTTTGACGGTATAAAAGACCCATTGCAGAAGTGAGGGAAAAGCTTCACGGTGGGTCCTCTTTTCTGTTGGACATGGTTGCCCGGGCAGCCGCCCTACCGCACGTGATATACGCGTGCATTCGCTAGCTAGTTCCTCCTCCCGCCAATAGAGAATTAACAATCCCACAAGATCATACTCTTCAGTTTTAATTATCAAACATTCATTGTGAAGAATGTGAAGCGCTAAGTAAGGTGCCAGGAATGGTAGCTGTTTCGTCAAATTGTTAATGGACAGCTCAAGCTCCGTCACATGACATTCCTCTTCTTGGAAATCTGGTATGACTGTCCAAGATATGTTCTGTGCCCACATCAAGTTACCTGTGATTCAAAAAGCGGCGTTTCGAGAGAATCCACGACATCGTTGAGCCCGCTGAAGAGTATCACCAGGGAGGCTATCATCCGGTACACCTCCACGGTGTATTCAATAAGAGGTATGAGGTTATTGGAAAGTTGGTGTTTGGTCAATTCTCAACATATGGCTCACACAGACAACTAACAATCCATTTAAGGTTTCAGCGGCATGTGTTGAAGATACTGAAAGCGGATGCTTCCAGAAACAATAAAGAGCTTGCTCTGCTCCTTAAATTATCTGCTCCAGGCCTAGATCATCCTGGCAAAGAGCATGTTGTTGAACTGCTGGATTATTTTGAGCATGATGGCTCAAATGAGACACACTTGTGTCCAGTGCTCGCTGCAATGATACCTGACAGTGAAGTAATAAGCATCAACAGAAGGCTGCACCAGGCAGCCTATGTACAAGCTGTATCCAAACAAGTCTTGTTGGATGTTGACTTTCTTCATAAGCTAGGCATCACTCACTGCGGTAGATCAGTGCCTGACGCATGAAAGTTGATAGTAACATGACTTAATGCAGATCTACAACCTGCAAATGTTCTGTTTTCAATTGTTGAGGCTGTGCATGCTGAGGTGTTTTTGCAGCACCCTGAGTTCAGTCCTGTTAGGTGGCTAGAAGGAATGAAGATAAATAATAGTGCGCTGAAATATTTGATGGCCACACAGAGACACTGAGGCAAACTGGACAACACAGACTTCACCACAATCTTGATTAAGATTATTGATCTGGATGGAAGTATGATGCACTCTTTATTATATCCCAAACCTGGTACATCATTACCTAGCTGCATGGAGTCGACAATGTGATCAGTGGCCGGTAATGCTGACAGCTTTGTGTGCACCTGAGCTAATCCACTGAAATACTTGGGATTCTAGGATTGATATCTGGACCTTGGGTTGCTTGGTATGCCCTCCCTGTACTCAAACCTAGTTCTCCCATCTAATCCTTGTGTAAAGATATTTGAATTGGCAACAAGTCATTATTTCCCTGGGGATCCTTTGGCCTCATGGCCGAACAGATTGACGAAGGGCACACTTATCATATTAGCCAGCTCCTTGGTAAGAACAGTCAGATGCATGAGAACTTTACAAAACATCTGACAGACAGGCTTCCATTTGACTTCAGTACTGAGAATGTCCCCATCTTGCATCATTTCTTTGGTTGTTACTAATTCATTTCTTAAGTATTTCCGATTAAAAATCTTCAGATAAAAAGTGCGAAGGCATTTCTTCAGGAAAATAATAAAGCCAAAAGCGAACTCAAAAGACCTGTGTTTAATTTGTATCAAAGTCAAACGTACTCAAAAGATATGAGTGGCTCCCTTGAGTATAAAGGAGAATCAAAATAGATAAGGCCAGTGCTAAGACCCATTATAACATACCTACTTTGTGAGTCTCACTGAAGAATAAGCCAGCATGTATAGTATCCACTTACCATTCAACTCCCGTTCCTACGTCTCGAATAAATAGCCAAAAATAAATAAATAAATAAATAAATAATCCAGGAACAGCTAGTCAAAAGGAAAACACACACCAATACTCATGAAATACCGTAACTTAGAGCTGGGTCCTCTTGTGATTATTGTTGCAAAAAAGGAGGGAAACAAATGCAAATATATGTAGTTGATAAACCAAAAAATAGAAATATAAAAATAAATAAATAACAGCTTAGCCCATTTTCAAACGCCGATCCTCTTCCCAAATCTCCTCTTTCATCTTCTGTAATCGCTCGTGCTGTCGTTCCAGCTTTTCAATCTGGCTCGCAGGAGGGTCTGGATGACTAGTCATTTCCTCATGTAGAAGTCGATACTTGGCATAATACCGTTTAAATTGTTGTGCTTTGTCGCGTAACCGCTGGCGAAGTATCTCAAGGCTAAGAGGCGGGGAGGCACTACCTGTAGTGCTGCCGCTTGATGGACTGGAGAGGCGACGCCGTTTCGGTTCCATTGAACGACCATTCGTTATTGGAGTGGGAAGCCGACGAGACTTTTGGTGTCGTATCCCATTTGGCTCATGGTTTGTGCGGCCGGGTGCTGGTGAATCAGTCTCTGCTTTGCGCTTGAAGGAGTTTTGATCAGGTTTCTTATCACTATCACCATTGACAATACTTGGTATTTGGGTCCCCGAAAGGGTGGAGGAAGCTTTAGCTCTGGAATGCTGGATCATAAGCGGTGAGGAGGAACTGGAAGATTGTGCGGTGTTCGCGGATTGCCCACCGTTTTCTAGATCGGATGCATTCGTAGGAGGTGATGACCCGAGTGGAGAAGGTTTTTGTGGAGAACTGTTTCTGGCAACGCGACTAGCTGCTGTAGTAGAGGGATTCGTTTTCACGGACTGCGATTTCACTTTGGCTGGCTTTTCTGGTTCTGCTTGTTTTGATGTAGACGTAGAGGCCGGAGTGCTCTTAACGGATGTTCTGTTAGCCTTGTTTTGACTTTGTTTCTCTCGAACCTCTGTAGTGGTAGTTGCGGACGAGCCCAATGGCGGTGAATCAACCATATCTGTATCTTCATCTGAGTCACGGACAAATTCTGCAGATTTGTACTTGGCATCTAGTTTTGCTGGGGTTTTCTTATCCCTCTTTTTGTCGGTCTTTTTCGTCACTCTCCCCGTCAATGTGGTATTTTTTGCTTTGGTGGTTGTACGTTTCGTCTGGCCAGTCTTTTCAGTCGACTTCCTCCTTTGCTCAGTTCCTTCCTGTGCAGAATTAGCACCATTTTGCTGGTTAGGAGTAACAGCACCGTTGGTCCGTTCTGACTCATTGCCCGTTCCGTCCCCATCCTTTGACATGTCTTCAGAAGCTTGAACCTGGATCCGTGGGGTCGTAGCTATGGCAATCGGGCCAGTATGTAGGTTCAATCGAGACAAGACTTTACCCTTTCCCCTCTCAGCTTTTGGGAGTAGCATCTGCCACAGTTTATCTGTTCGTGAGATGCGCATTCGATCAAAGGCTGAGATGGCATTCTCAATTGCTTCTTGACGTTCGTTCTGGGAAGGATATGGAAAATTCCAAACATCAAGATCCTTGTATGCCTTGTCTTTTAAACCATGCTTTTCTCGATCTAGCCGGTTCTCAACACCGTATTTCTGTACGAGAGCCAAACAGTCCTCCTGTGAGGCACGGGTTTTCTGGGCCAAGAATCTGACAGAAACTGCTCGGATAGCAAGGAGATGGGTAAGAGGAACACGGAGAGCTTCAAGCCGAATTTTATCCTTGTTCTGGGGCAGTGGGGCAGTTGTGGGAGTGAGCGTAGAAACAGAAGCTGGGGAACGTGCCGCAAGGAGGCCTGGGCTGACGGGTGTGGATCGATTGGCGGCATTCTGGAAAAAGCGTTCTTTCTCGACATCTATCTTGCTTACTGGCTTTCGGGCTAGGGAAGCAGCTGCTTTTCCAGTTGCACTGCGATTATCTCCAGCACCAAGAGCTCTCATCTGGTCAATCGTAGTAATCAATGGGGTTTTCTTCGACTCCTTTCCTTTCTCAAAGGCACTCAGCCTCTGCTCAAGATTTGCCAGTGCCTCATCGGTGGCAGCAGTTGCTTCACGAGCTTTCTCTACCTCAAGTTTATGACTGAGCACACCGGTGAAATAAGCATTTTCTTTTGACGAAATAGAGTAGACTTCGGACGGGTGGGTTTCTGGCGAGGAGAAAATTGTCTGTGATTTGTTGCCGTAGTGTAGCGATTGGTGTTTTCCCAGACGGATACGAGCTTTTTGATCGCTACGCAGACTCTGGACGAGTTCATCGAGGGTAGACTGCGCCAAATTCAGCCGCATTATCTGGCTAGATTTTGGAGTGGAAGAATCCGTAGGCGGTTCCCCGGGTTTCTCAGCCCTCTGGAGACAGAGTCCCCCCTCGGGAATCACGAAGGAAGTCATTCCGAGAGTAGAATGGACAGTAAAGCGGAGCAGCGGATATAAATTGGAGTGGTGATACTTGAATGGGACGGACGGGTAGAAGCGTCAAAGGGACAGTCGAGGGATTCTTCCTCGTCAACGAGGTAGAACGGGAGTGACAAGCTAGGGTGGTTGGCAGCGAGCTGACGGGAAAGAGAAAGGATACACGAGAGTATCATGGCCCGCAGCGGCATCAAGGAGGACTTGGACTGCGGGAGGATTCGAGCATGGAGAGCGAAATGGTGGACGACAGGGGGAGAAGAGGGAAGAGAGAATGAGGGTGGGTTATCTAAGAGGAAGAAGAGGGAGAGAGGGGGTTAATGAGTGATGAAGACCTAGAAAAACACTTAGGCTCTTGGAAAGAGAGAGGGAAAGGGGAAGGGGGGGGAGAGTGGGGGAAGAGAATGAGGGAAAAGAGAAAAGAATAAGAAGAGGAGGTTGAAGGAGTTGAGGAGTTGAGTTGAGGGAGCTGAGGTTGGCCGTTGCAGTACGGTTTGGAAGGAGGAGAAGGTAATTACTGGTTGTTTGTATGGGATGCATGCAACGCTGGATGTACGGTGACAATACAGGTCAGTCCGTGACAATACGGCTGCACCAACGATTCCCACGCCCTTCGCGATCTTGGCTCTCACTGATACTCTACGTGTGGGTGCTTTCCCTCACCTACCAGAGCATTGGGGCTGGGCATGCTCTGCCTCTTCAACAAGGTGCACGGGTGGGTTTGGGGTTGCCACGCCACTGGGGTGAGAGTTGTTGAGTTCCCAGCGCGCTGCCCCACAAGGGATGACCTAGCACTGAGCACTGGGGAACAGCCGTAGTTCAACAGAGGAACAGTTGAACCGTCGAAGTCAAATAAATAGTAATAAACAAATAACTACGTTGGTATGGAGTACCCAAAGAAAATGTACTTTTATTCTTCCCTTTCGGACTTGAACGAGGACAAGTCAAGTCATGCCTCGCCATGGCGGTTTCAGGTTTGGAGGAGGGAATTAATACGGGTTCATCATTCCCCTATCGTGTTCGTAACTCGGCTCTCCCGCTTCATTATTCAAACCTTATCACAGTTCAACTACGACAGCAGCTCCAAGCGGTGGTGGTGACGATGGGCGGTTTTGGGGGTGGCTGCTCCCAGATTGAAAAATCATTTCGGGCCCTGACTGGAGCCCTGCGTCTGGAGAGAGATATATATATGATGACCATGCCATGGCCGTGAGGGTAGGTGGTACCTTTGGATATGCCTGGCTGAGAATTCGTTTCTATTACAGGTACCGTCGATACCAGATCTGCTGACACACCAATATCTGGTAACTTAACTAGTTAACTTACGTTAACTAACTAGTCAGCTAACTAATTATATGTGTTGCAGCTCAGTTTGCCTCAAAACCAGTTGGTCTGGTTGTGGTTGAACAACTTCAGCATTTAAATGATGGGCAGACAAACAAATAATGAACTAATAATTGCAAACATATAGTTCAAAAAGACATGTATAAAACAAAGCAGAAGGCGTATATGGAGTACCAACCAGACCATCTTCAAACCCATTGCCTGTCTGGAAACTATTTCCATTCTCTTCGTCGTTTTGCCTTTTCTCGTACTATCCATAATATCTCCCTAGTATGCCCCCCCCCCCAAAAAAAACAAACGCCTTGCTCCCGTTTAGTAAATCGAGCTGACAGAACTCTTTAACCTTAACCAAGCCATGTTAAATAAATAGTTGACTAGTTAACTAAACTATTAGTTACTTAATTTGTTTGACAACGATGCTGAGTAAGCACGGAGAAAGCAAGAGAAAAACTGGAACCTCAACACACACTGTACCGTACCATCAAGAACCTCTCTTCTTATGAATGATATGCTCCGTGCTCCAAGGCGAAAAAAGAAAGTAAAAACGAACAAATCACCAGCATTGATTGAGACAATCGCTTTTGGGAAAGAGATCTGCTTTGATTTGCCAGCCGCGTTGTTTTATTATTAGCCTTCCCGGCCGTTTAGTTCCCCTTCCCGGTTGGCTGTATCACGATAAAAATGGCTGTCTTGTTTTGCCTTTTTATTATTTATTTTTTTTTGCTTTTGTTTTTCTTTTCTTTTTTTCTATTTTTTCTCTCAATCCTATTCCGCTCTTCCCCTTCCCCTCTCTCCTGTTCTTTGCTTTCTTTCTCCTCTTGTTTACCTCAAATTTATTGGCTAACAATTGTCCAGCAGACAAAACTCACACAAAAGGGAGAACCAGAGGTTTCTATTATTAAAGATCGATTCAAGAGCTTGAGGTGTCAGGTCATACTAGCCCCACCGCTTTGCCACTGGTGGCTTTCCCCAAGAACCAAGGTCGGCAAAGGATTTTTGCTTGTCCACATATCTTTTTGTTTCATGGCTGTTCTTGGGGGTTTTATAATAGCCTCCCTCAGGTTCTTCATTCATATATAAGTTACAGACGGAGTGCGAATTTAAAAAATACCGGAGTTCTTAATTCTTCTCATCTCCATATTATTCTCATTCCCAAAGGCCAAATGCATGTTCTCTATGGTTTGTCACCAACTGCGCTTGCGGTACCCACCTTACAACACATAAATTTGGCGCCGAGACGGGTGGGAACGACCGGTTCTAGTTCTCGTCGTTCTGATTAGTCAAACCGTTACTCACCTGACCAGCTACCCATTCCGAAAAAGCTCTCCGATTGTTGCCCCGGACCATCGTCTTATATTAGATGATTCGCTCTCCTCAGGGTTGCTAGATCAAAAATATCCATTTCTCCCCTCCCAAACAACTCTAGAGACCAATTCCCTGGTTATATGTTTTAACTTGTAGCGTACAAGGTATCCCAGACGTAGAAGAAAGACATTCTTCACTTTTCTTTTTCTTGTTTGAATTCTTCGGATAATGGATTTGATCTCTTTAAGACCATTTTGTACGCTTCTAGTGGCTCAAGCAGCTTTAGTGAAGAATACTCTAGCCAAGGAGCAACGAGTGTGCTCCATGTAACCTTTAACTCTGTCTCCGGGGTCGCATCAAGTAAAAGACGACCATTCCCGTATATGGATTATTTGCATGCATGTAGGTACAGTTCTCGAGTTATATTATGACTCATGATAATGACCTCGATGTGCATAGAATATAAAGAAATGCGTGCCAAGCCCCCAGCTCCGATTCTATGATGTCTGATTCCATCCTCATATTTTCCCTCCTCTGCTAAGCAAAGAGTTACCCCTGCGTACAATTGTTGAATAACTTCGAATTTTTATCAAGGTAGGTACATCACTTTACCTCTTCCTATGGATTCTTTTCTTGACCGTGAAGAGGGGAAAGAGAAATAGAACCTCAAACAAAATCCGTGCATACCTCTATAACAAGGCATGTTGGCAGATATATCACCCTTCCTTGGAAGTATATGACAACGTGAAAGGAATTAATTATTCCGCATAAAAATGCTTCTACGCTGCTCGCAAATTTCTCCCCGTGTCTTTCCCCCCGTGTGGATATGTTGCCAGACATGACCACTCCATGTCCGCAGCGAGAAACCCGCATGTATCATCAAAACAATACTACGTTGCACAACCGTCGTGATGTATGGAGTTTCTGTGAGATGCCACTACACGAGGGGAGGGGAAATGATAACAACAATAATTATATCACTAACAGCATAATCACAGTATTTGCAATAATAAACTTTGACTAGGTGAACAGAATTCTTCAACGAAGTGAAAGATCAATTCGAAATATTTAAAATGTTTTAACTCTTTTCATTTCAACATGCAATTATGTCATCATTTCATGATAAAATGGCAAGAAACCCTATAAATAGAGAAAAGAATTGAACTTATAGTATCTACTATTAAAAAGTAAGAAAGAATTTTTATAACTATTTATAATATAATTAAAGCTAAAATATAGTTATTCAAAATTTATTTTAAAAAAATATACGTAAAAATATTATTTCAATTAATATATTTTTTATATATAAGTGAAAATTCTAAATATATTTTGTGGAAATCCTAATAGAATTCATAAAAGCTAAACTTTTAAAATCAATATGATTTAAATAAAAAATTTATTAACCTAAATTTATTTTCTCTGCTAGGATAGGAAAAATTTTTAAGTTGAATTTATAACTGAAACTAAAATAACTAGTTAACTTGCTACAAGATAGTTAGATAGAGTTTGATTATTAAATCAAAAAAGGTTAAAAAATTTTATATCTCAATAGTAGTTTACCATAACGATTATATTTATATTTTCATTAAATTGTTTATATATATTATATTTCTTTTCTCTTTGTTTGAAAGTTATTTACCAATTTCTTATAAGGTCGGGGAGCAGGAAAATATGAAAGTTATTATCAAGGAAGTGTTAAACAGAGAACACACTTCCAGCCTTGCCTGAATCTGGCTGTGCAACTATGCCCACGTCCCCGTAAACCCCCAGACATTGAAGGCCAAAGAAAACCTAGTTCTAGGTTCGATACTCGGTTTTGCTAATCGAGCGACCCCGTCATATATCTCAGCCATTGGTAGAGCCTCCAAAGAAGGTGGGGAGAACTTCATCTTGAACCACTCGCGGCTCAGGAGGTCATCCCGATCAGGGCCCCCAACATCAGCTTCGATAAGGAGTTTCCCTCCACCAACCAAGTGTGGAGGGGCAGTTTTAGGAACGGTCGTATCCAATACGGCTTCAATCGATTTAATATACCGACTCAGTTCATCCACGTCGGCTTGCTTTGCAACGTTAGTGTCGAGGAGAACGACATGATCACAGTGAACATGGCTTGGCTTTTGAGACCTGGAAACTGGGTTTTCAGGTTTGTATTCGACATACGCGTATTTGACTGGAGAGGGTGTTGGTTGTACGGCTGCGTGGGTTCCAGGAGAAGGGCCTTTGTATTGTGGTGATGTCGATCCTTCAAATTCTAGGCTGAATCGGAAACCGGATGGGAAGGCAATACTGGAAGATATTGACTGTTCGATGAAGTTGCGGAAGTTCGCCCACGTGGAATTTGTGATCATGACTGTTCGTTATGATTTACATATTAGCCTTCATTGGTCAATGGGCACCGGGCTAACGAGGCGCGATATCCATATGTGCAGGTGCAGGTAAAAAAGGGAGTGAATGAGAAATGCTTAAGAACGTACATATAAAACCATCTTCTATCATTTTAAGCTCATTGTTCTCCTGGCAGGGGCAGAATGCGAAATAATTTAGATTCATACACGCATTTGATGTGCCTGCAGCGTATCCCCTGGGCTCTGTATCGGTATTACTCCAGAGGAGGCCGGAGTCAGCGTCCCTGTGAGGAGTGGTTTCTAGCGAAAATACGTGTTCAAGTTGAAACTGTGCCAATGCTTCTTTAAGCGGAGAAGCAGATCGTTGGGGAATATGAAGAACAATCTCGTTTCCCTTCTTCAATGCACTTATTCCCGTGACAATAACAGACGGCAACGAATCCTTCATAGTTCCCGTCATGTTCGCCATGGTTATGCATGGTTGACGGCCACGGTCTATCCAGGGAGGGAAAGGAAAATAACGCTCCTGAGCACCTAGATGTCCAAGAGCTCTCATAACCCCATATCTCTGGGCAACCTCTGCCTCTGGCGCAATGAGGGGGATGACCTGTAGCCATTCACGAGGGAAATACGAAGCAGGTACATTGTTGATAGGGTGCGCAGGGCCGTAAACGACCCATTTGAAATCGGACCTGTCAAGGAAGGACGGAGAATGGAAGTCTGTGCGATGAAACTCATCAACTGTCTGCCCGCCCTTTGCTGCGGAATAGACGAACTTAATCCATTGAAAAGGAGCTGTCGGGAAGTTGTCCTCCCGTTCACTGGCCTTGCGTCGAATAGTAAAGACGATATCTTTCTGGCCCACTTGTGCCAATCCTTCAGAGATGTAAGTCCAGCAATAAAACTCCCCACTGACCATGGATTGCAGCGTATGATAAAATATGAGCACGCCGACACCCTCCTCCGGCAAAACTGGGTAAGTAAGCGGCCATGCTATTGGCTTAGGCGACGGGGCAGCTGGGGGTTGCGAAGGAGACCAGCGATTTCCAGCGGCTCCTGGGACGGGAGCATTGTTCGGATAAGAAGACGAGAAGTCCGCCTGAGGAGCTTGCCCCCGCGATTGGCCCGGGCGCTGGAACGAAGGATGAGGATTTCCTTCAATGGCCGGAGCGGGAGCACTGTTTAGGTGTGAAGATGGAAATGCTCCTTCGGGGGCATCCCTTGGTGATGACAGGGAAGGGGACGGTGAAGGTAATTTCTTCCCTCCGATCTCAGAAAGTCGCTTCTTCCAGCTATCAAAACCCATAGCTTCGATTGATGGGCGTGACCCAACGAATATTAATGTTTAAAGAAGCAGCGGAATCTAATTTCTGCTCTGGAACAAAATTTCAAGAAATAGTTGTAAAAATATGACAGAATCCCGTCAGGCTCTTTTCCTTTTGGCTTGAGTTTTGACAACACAGCCTCCCACTGCACGCCCGCAATCCGCCAATCTGCAAATACTAGCCATCATTGTGGCGTTTCCCGATTCGAACTCGGCGGTTGATCTGTCTTCTCTCTCGGCATCGAGGGACTCCACTGCCTTGGATCCCATCGATGACGCTAAAATTGATGTAGCTCATGCGGGCATTTGGGGGCCTAGGGTTGGCAGTCAGTGTTGCTGTAACGTAACCCTAGCATGAGTAGTAAAGTCCTTCGAAGCTGGGTCAACCCTGAAGACTCAGAGTTGCCAGTTATATGTGCATTCAGAGCATCAGCACATACCTAGATACATACATGGTTTGCCAGTTGAGAAACTAGGGGTACCTAGAAAACTTAGCCAGAGTAGCCGGGGAATAGGACCCTAAGTTTTAGGGGCTGTGGGAGCCTTGGCTCTCATAAGACAGTTAAAGCGCCCCTGTAGCACCTACATGCAGCCCTAGAGCCCTGTAGAGCATATTCGACGTCAGGTGACCTCAGATGGGCCAGCCATGCAACCGCAACAACTCGACCGTATTGCGGCTGATTAAGCTAATATCAAACATCCGCCGGACCGCGCTGTTCTCTTCTTTCCTCTCTCTTTTGTTTTTTTTATTATTATTGTTACTTTTTTATTTTATTTTACTTTCGACCCTCTTGCTGCAGCATTACCTAGGTATTGTGACAGCTCCCCGCATTGCTCAATGAACAAAGACAAGAGAGAGAATAATGTCTTCAGGAAAGTATCCGTGTAATTCTATTTTTCGTGCTGTCGTCCCATGCCTTCTTAGCCATCAATCTCGGCCTTAGCTACCGTCGCATCGTGTTTTCAATAGGCAGTTCTGCGGAACTTTGAGCTGGAGCTAACTACCTTCCGTCTGTAGATGAAGAAGTGCTAGAGCTTGTCGCCAAAGACGGGACTATCGATTTGTATGTTTGCGAATGTCTTCCAGCTCGTCCGTGCGCCGCTTGGTTGACGATTTTTTCCTCTTGATACAGTGAGAAATGGCCCGATTTGCTTGACCCTTTAATTGAGAGATTGGAGCATGTAAGTGTCCAGCTGTGTGGAGCTCTGCATGGAACCATAAGTGTTTGGGAAACTGACAGCTCCCAAAGATAGTTCATAATGACTTCCCAATGCCCACAATTCCCCCAACTTTGAGTAACACACATGATACCCCAAGTCTGATACCCTCTTCTTACCCGATACAAGAAGTGAACCCACAATCGAATAACAACAAGGAGAATGCTCCGCCTTCACAACTGCAAACCTCGCCCGGTCGACCACCGGTCCCTGCCTTCCGGTCATCTGTCCCTATCGAGCAGATTCCGGATTCTCAGCTGCAATCAACAGACGATGCCCTCCCTCCACCCCTGGTCAGAATACTCTCATCCATCAAATATACCTTAAGAACCTATTTCTCGCTAAAACCACCACATACCATCCAGCGGCTGGCAGAATTGATCCTACAACCGACCCGTCACTATAGCACATTACCCTCATACCTCCGCGCAGTGGATAGAGTAGTGTCCGTATCCAGCGGAGCAGACATATTCCCATTGCCCGCCTCCTTGCCCATACCCGGTGGCCTGATTGATACCAACCTCGTGAATGGCGTTAACGGCTCGGGGAGCAGTAGTTTCGTGTTGGAAAATGATGCGCTGGGGAGCGATGAGTCTTTGGGAGGTGCCCTTCTCACTCCAATACCATGGCTGAGAGATTCTGCCCTCCCCGGAGGTAATAACGATGGCATTTTGGATTTTGATTCCAGTCCTAATTCGAGTCCAGATGTGAGCCCATCCAGCAGCAGCAGCCCGTCCACTGTTCCTCCGCAAGGATCCGGCGCCGTAACAGGCGAACTCACTCGACAGGAGCAAGAAGCTGGCGTTGTTCACATAACAATTCAGGAACACCAGGTCGGTTCGTCACTGGTGGCTGGGAGAGATGGAGTGGAAGCACAAGGTGATGATGACGTCGAAGAGATACCCCATGCGCGAGGACCCGCTATCTTGGGCGTTGAAGATATGGGATTGCAGAATAGAACAGAGGTTCAGTTTTCGCTGTCACCTAGTGCCACTGGCATCAATGATGTTCCTGCAGACGGTTCGGCAACCGATTTGAATACCACACTACAGGCATCAGCAGAGAGTGATAAATTGAGCAGCGCTGATTTAAAGGAGGATGCAGATATGGATGCGGATGGAGACTTTGTCATTGGCGATATACATGATAAACCCGAAGGAGAGTCCAGCGGGAACCTCACAGAAGCTGCTTCGACTGCTATGTCCATTGACGATATGAATCTGGAGACTGAAGTATCGATAAAGCCAGAGATGGGAATGGATGGAGTAGAAAATGGGGGCAGTATAAAAGATTCTGAAGGTGGTGGCAGGATGGAGAGGTGAAACATTACGATCTTGCACTTTTATTTTCTCCCTTTTCATATATTTCAATGGCGTTTCCGGTTTGCCATGGCTGAAGTTATGGAGATGCAGCCAGAGTTTTTGCAGATCAGTTTGAGAAATACAGTGATTACCTTTTCGCTTGTTTTGTTCTTTACCTTGATTCGTCATGCCAGCAATATAGCCTTAGGAAACTAAGTTGTACAGAGAAGAGAGAGTCAAGCGGAAGGTTTATCACTTCCTGCCTAAACAATTGCCAACCAATACGCCCAGTCTCCGTTGGGCTGCCATTTAGCTGCCGGACATCTTCGTGCTCCATATAAGGTAAAGGAAACGACAGGAACTTGTAATCTGGATATTACTTTGCATTTCATCAATACTACTTCATGTCCATAAATGAAGGTAAATTTTCACTTCAATGCAGTAATATACACAAAAGGAACGGCTCCTAAGTCATAGATGGATAACGATTATACATTAAATGTCAACAGATGAAGACGTTATCGGGAAGTTTGGGGTGATGCGAATATGGAAGACTAAAAAAATAAGCTTAACCATGTCCAGAATAGGGGTTGTTTGGGTAGTAGGTAGGGGGAATTCATTACCATGCATCAACAAGGGAAATTCTTGTCAAGGGAAAAAGAAATTAGTGTGTCGTCTCATCATCGTCATCGATATCAAGGGAACGGGAGCCATCATCATCTAGGATAGGGTGTTTGTGTTTGAGCTTCTGAACTTTTCCTTAAACATTTGTCTGTTGGTTCTTTCTTTCTTGTTTAGCCCAGCGCACTGTAGAGGGTATCAGCACCACGTTCGACTTGGAAACCTCAGGAGGAAGCTTAAAAATAAGGTGGGGGGAGAGGCAAACCCAACTCACATCCGCAAGCATTGCATAGTGTTTTCTTCCCACTCGGGCCCTTCCGCCACTCAGGAGAAGAGAAAGTCCCGCAATCCGTACAGAAATGTGTTTCGGCAGGTTTACTTCTCCGCCTCCTTTCGGTATTGGCTTTCCTTACCCTATCATCTCTGCTGTTGGCAAACATGGAGACCGGAGGAACGTTGGTTTGGATAAGGGTGCCGCCAGGGTCCCCAGTGCTTATCCCCTGAGCTCGTTCCCCAGCCCGATAATTCAGGCCAGTTATAAGCTCGATGTCATCTAGAGATGTGCGACCATCAAAACCGAAGGGAATTGAAATGTTATTTTCTGGTAGGGGTGCCGTTAACGGTTTATATCCGCTGGAGCTTGATGCGGTGAAGAGATGATTTGGGGTTGGCACAGCGGGAAGTCCGAATTGAAATCCCACCGTGGCTGAAGGGATGAAATTGGAGGGTGTTGTTGAATTGTAGACAGCCTGTGGAGCCGCGAAGGTTGCTTGTTGGTCGTCTTCTTGTTTTTTGTCTTCATGGTGACGGAGCTGGAATTCTCCTTCTCGTTTCAACTCTGCGATGCGCCGGGTCAATCTCTCGTTCTCGAGCTTGTGCTCAAGAAACGAGTCGAGAAGTTGTGATTGCTTGGTTAGGTAAGGGCGGGCAATTATTGAGAACTCGAGGCCAGTCGCGGAGTCGATGTGGCCATGGGCCTCCAGCAGGAGATAGGTTCCGTCACGCTTCTTGAACCGGTAATAGCACCTGAATGGGTTGCCTGTGTGTATTGAATCGGCGAATTCTTGGATGACCATTGAGCGGTCATTTGGGTGGATAAATTCGAATAAAACATTGCCTATCATATCTTCTGGTTCGTAGCCTATCAATGCCTTGCAGCAAGGCGACACAGCTACCAACACCCCGGACATGTCTAAAATTTGTATCAGGTCTCTTAATCCCGCTAGTATGTTTTGCATGCGAGTTTCCGGCTGTGTGGAGTCAGCATCCAGCACATTGCTGGTGCTCTCGGGGTTTGCAGGTAGTGGCGATGCAGGAGCAGGAATGCAACAGCCAACCTCCTCTGCAGAGACGTTTTGTTCCCACTTGGCTGGTCCATCTTGCGAACTTGCAGGGAGCAGAGGAGCCGTTTCAAAGGTTTTACCATAGGTATTTTTATACCGCGCATTATCAGCGTCGAGATCGTTATGAGGCGGCTCCACGGCATTGAAACCTTCCACTAAAGCTCCCTGTACACATAGCTCTACGGCAGGGAGCTTTTCTCGAGTTACGTATTAGCATATAATTCTTTCAGAAGAGAAGGGGTGTTGCCGGCTGCTGGCTGGTTAGTTGGTGTCGTACCTCATTGGGATAAGCGGACAATTCTCGAGCAAGCCGGGGATCATATCCTGACATGAGGAGAGCCCAAAATGGCACGACCGGAATGGACTTCCATGTGCTGTGATATGAAGGAGGTGACAGCGTGAGAGAACAACACTTGGGCTGGATGGTAATGTTATTGAACGAGGTTGAGTGCCATAAACTTAGGAGAAGCACACCGTGTAAATCGGGAGTTAGCAGGAAGACTGTTAAGCGCTCTCTGGCATTTAGGTTGTTTAACGATCGCACAGTGGCTGTAGGGTTCTTGTCATTTTAGCGTCTTTCTCTCTTGTTTTATGTGTGATGTGTGCTTCGACCGTGCGGTCGGGGTTAAGGGTTGCCGAGAGCTGTCAACGTACGGGTTCCGCACCATGGCACCTGAATCCGCAAACTCCGGGGGACCACATGCTCACTGCTTAACTAGAGCCCCGGTCCCTCCACTTCCCCCACCCCCTGTTGTCCCCACGTTGCTAATAGTTAGCGGTTTGCTTATTTTGGGCTTTTTGATCTCGAATGGCCAAATTGGCTTGGAGGCCAATCCTTGGTGAGTTATATGACCACCACCCAGTCACAATTAACGACCGCATCCCTATTTCAAAGAAGGGTGGAAAAAAAAAAAAAAAATACACTTTGCTACCATGGCAAATCATTTTTAAAGTAAGGGGGGGGGGGGGAGATTATTTCACTCGACACTTGAGCCGCTTGCACTTGTGGGAGTCACGTGATATCACACATTTCTATCCGCGTGAAATGCGCGGGGAACATTGTGAGAAAGAAAGAAAGAAAGAAACATGACGTGCATCAGCAACCTCTGAGCAAAATTCTCCTTACCACTTTCAACTGTGAGAGGCAGTGCTGCTAGTTGCGGGCTGCGCGGTCGTAGTCCTGTCAAGATGTAAGTGGCCATCAGTTACGTGCACGGATTCCTTTCGCTAATTTGCTTTTCAGGTGTGAGTTCCATATGCCCACATGCCCACATGCCATGTCTACCACTACTCCTCTATCATAAAGCTAACTGCCGTCAGCGAAAATCGACAAGCTATCTATTCTTGGGTAAGTAAACTCATGTCATATTGCGTTTTCTTTCACTTGAATATGTCGTTAATACCTGTCCTGGCCTTTTTTTATACCAGTGTCCGCTCTTTCGACAACACCCGAAGCGAAACCATCCAATTCCATACACCGTTGACTTTGATTGTCGGATACAATGGCTCGGGAAAGACGGTGTGCTACTGCACTTGCATTTGTGGGGGCTTAATGCATGCTAACTGATTCAGTAGACCATCATTGAGTGTCTCAAATATGCAACAACCGGAGACCTCCCACCCAACAGTAAAGGCGGTGCCTTTATTCACGATCCGAAGGTTTGTCTAGCGAATCTATATAAAGCATGCGAGTAAGGACTGAAGACAATCCCCAGTTATGTGGGTGAAAAAGAAGTCCTGGCCCAAGTAAAGCTCTCGTTCAAGTCTATAACAGGAGCCAAAATGGTAGCCACACGAAGCCTACAACTTACGGTGAAAAAAACTGCGAGACAACAGAAAACATTGGAAGGTCAGCTTTTGATGATTAAAGATGGGGAACGAACGTCTATTTCTTCTAGGGTGGCGGAGCTCGACCAGATCATGCCTCAATATCTTGGTGTTTCGAAAGCTATCCTGGACTCTGTGATTTTCTGCCACCAGGATGAGAGCCTTTGGCCAATGAGCGAACCATCCGTCTTGAAGAAGAAATTTGACGAGATTTTTGAAGCCTTGAAGTACACAAAAGCCATCGATAATATCAAGGCTCTTCGGAAAAAGCAAAATGAAGAACTCGCCAAGTACAAAATTATGGAACAGCATGCCAAAGAAAATAAGGACAAGGCTGATCGTGTACGTATCCATTCTTTTTTTTAGACCGCTTATTTGTATGGTTTAACTGAGACAAATTTTAGGCGGAAAAAAGATCAATCAAATTGCAGGAGGAAATTGAGGCGCTCCGTGCTGAAAGCCATGAACTCTCTAAGGAAATGAGAAGAGCTGCAGAACTTGCTGACAAGGCCTGGAAGGAGTCGGAGAGTTATGTTCAGATACTTGGAACCTTGGAAGGAAAGCGGATAGAAGCGAAAAGCATACAAACTAGCATCAGCAACCTGCAGCAACATCTTGTTGAGGTTGATGAGTCTGATGAGTGGCTTCAACAAGCCTTAGAACAATTCGAATCAAAACAAGCTCAGGATCGAGAACAGGAAGAGTCACTCAAGCAAAAATACGTGGATCTTAGGCAACTTATCGAAGATAATCGGGCTAAGCTAGGCCTCAAACAGGCCGAGTACGGCAAACACGAAAATGGCAAAGCTCAGTTTGAACGGCAGCTTAAAAGACGGGAAAAATTGATCAAGGAAATTGCTCGGCAGAACAGCATTCGTGGGTTCGGCGATGACCTCGACGACATGCAAGTAAACGACTTCATGCAACGAATTCGAAAGTTATCCAAAGATCAAAACCAAGCGTTAGAAAGAGCTCGACGAGAGGCCCAAGTGGAGCAGCGTGAAGCACAGACTCTTCTGAATCAGCTTGGCCAACGGAAATCTGCACTGCAGGAAGTGAAAAATGCAGCAAGAAAACAAATAACGTCGAATGATCGCGAAGCCGACGCGTATCAGAGACGTCTAGATGAAATTGATATAGATGAGGGTAACAAGGCTGTTTTAGAATCAAGGATTGAAGAAACTGAGCGATCTCTCAATGAAGCGAAAGATAAGGCAAAAGTTGCTTCATGGGACAGCGCAATTCAAAACAAAACTGAAGAGATTCGGTTGCTGGAGGATGAAAGCTCAAAACTGAACGCAGAGGTAATTGAGGGGACCAAACGAGCCGGCGATCTTGCCCGGCTAGATCACCTTAAAAGAGAACTTAAGGATCGCGAGCGCAGTCTCGAAACCATGAAAGGGGCTCATACTGAGAGGATCAAGAAATTTGTGACCCAGGAGTGGAGTCCCTCTACGCTCGATCAAGAATATCAAACCGCCTTGGAAGCTGCCACCAATGCCTTGACCCATGTTGAACGTGAAAGGAACGGCATAGGTAGGGAACTCGAACACACAGACTTCAAACTAAAGACAACTCGAAAGGATCTGCTACAAAAACGTAATGAATTGAAGCAGTGCATTGAAAAAATCCGCGACTCTGTCAACGACGAACCTGAAGAGTACCCCGATATTCTCAAGCAGCGTCAAGTACAGCTAGATATGGCCAAGAAAGATGCCGACCAGTATGCCGGACTGGGAGACTACCTCAGTAAATGTATGGATGCAGCCAGGCAGAAGAAAGTTTGCAGAATGTGCTCCAGGCCTTTTAAAACCGAGGGCGAATTTCAAATATTCTTGAACAAACTTGATGCTCTAGTAAAAAGGGCCACACAAGAAGCTGCTGATGAAAACCTGCGGCAACTTGAGGAGGATCTAGAGACTGCTCAAAGTGCATCCACTTTCTATGGCTCCTGGGTTCGCCTTTCTAATACAGAAATTCCTGCTCTTGAGAGAGAGGAGGCCAAACTAGAATCTCAACGAGAGGATTTACTATCTCAAATCGAGGACCATGACAAGATTGTTAGCAAACATGCAGAGCTGAAAAAGGATGTCGAATCTTTGTCGAAAACAGTTGCTACGATTTCAAAGTACGACAGCGAAATCGGGATACTTCGATCACAAATCCAAGAGCTTTCTACGAACCAACAAGATGTCATGAGCTCGAGAACGTTGGAAGACATTCAGGGACAACTTTCGGAGATCGGGGAAAGGTCTCGTGAGCTTCAAAAAGTTATTTCAAAATTAAGCAGCGAAAAGGATCAGTCGCGAACCGAGATTACAACACTTGAATTGAAGCTTCGAGACGTGAGAAGCAATTTGGGTAATGCTAACTATCAGTTGGAGAAAAAAGCGAACTTGATTGCCCGTGTCGAAGAATATCGCAACCTCAATGCCAAACAACGGGAGAGTATTGAAAATGCGGATCGAGATATTGACAATCTTGTTCCAGAGGTCTCGAAAGCTCAAGCCAGGTATGATGACATTAGTTCACGGGCCGAAAGAAGGGAGAAGGAGCTACATCAAGTAGCGTCCCAGCTGTCAGACAGTTTGCATCAACTTAACCTAGCGAACGAAGAGATCACTTCATATATTGAGCGAGACGGTCCAGCGCAACTGAGTAGGTGTGAAAAAGAAGTCCGTAGCATCGAAATGGAGATTGCAAACTTAGAGAAAGAGCAAGGATCAATCACCAAGGAGATCAATGAGATATCAAGCAGGCTAAAGGATAGCGAAAGCACAAAACGGCAATATGCCGATAACCTCAGATACCGTCAAGAAACAGCTGCACTCGAGGACGTGAATACCACTATTGAGGAACTAACTGCCCAGAACGCTGAGGTGGATCGCAGTCGTTTTAAGGAAGAATCAGAGCGACGAACACGAGAACACAACGCACTGTCCGCGAAGCAAGCCAGCAAAATGGGAGAAATGAAGTCAAAGGACGATCAGCTCATGCAGCTACTTGCTGATTGGAATACTGACTATAAAGATGCCGGGCTAAAATTCAAAGAAGCTCACATCAAGGTGGAAACAACGAAGGCGGCAGTCGATGATCTTGGCCGTTATGGCAGTGCTCTTGACAAAGCTATCATGAAATATCACAGCTTGAAAATGGAGGAGATCAACTGTATTATCGAGGAACTGTGGCAGAAGACGTATAGGGGTACGGACGTCGACACCATCCTAATTCGCTCCGATAACGAAAACGCGAAGGGAAATCGATCTTATAACTATCGCGTCTGTATGGTTAAGCAAGATGCAGAGATGGATATGCGTGGCCGCTGTAGTGCTGGGCAGAAGGTTCTTGCTAGCATTATCATCCGTTTGGCGCTTGCAGAGTGCTTCGGTGTCAATTGCGGCCTCATCGCGCTGGACGAGCCCACGACGAATCTTGACAGAGATAACATTCGTTCCCTTGCAGAGTCGCTGCATGACATTATCAGATCGCGCCAGCAACAGTCGAATTTCCAGCTTATTGTCATCACGCACGACGAGGAGTTTTTGCGGCATATGAAATGCGGTGATTTCAGCGATTATTATTATCGTGTATCGAGGAATGAGAGGCAGAAATCTATTATTGAGAGGCAGTCGATTGCGGCGGTTAGTACTTTCACCTCTGGTATCTCCTGGTGTTCGCTGCTTATGATATACCCTGTTCAAATGCTAACTGAAGTACAAAATAGGTTATTTAAGGTCTCTGTGTAAATTTCTCTTGAAAATTATTTTATGTGTCAAGGTTACCCTGCTCTTTTTGTTTCAATGTTTCCTACTATATATATAACCACCGTGACGTTAAATTTGAATTTGTTGACTTAAAAGTGGGAATACGGATGGAGTCTACTATATTTTCCTTGAGTTATAGGTCATTCTACACAATTTTCATTCATTTTATGGGCCCCTTTGAACATATTTTTGAAGTTTCACATGGTGCATTACACTTTATAGAGGATATGCTGGATGAAGAAGCCAGCCAAAACCCCCTTCTCCCGTGGAAAACGTACATGCATGACCTAAGTTAAAAGAGCTTGTGATCGAAATTCTTCCTCAAGTACCGATTTTTATGTGTTAATCATTTGCAGTACCATCTTCTCCGCCCTCGTCATCGTCATCGACTAATGGGACGAATCGGAAATCCACAAAGCCAGCATTTTCGATCCTCTTAATTGCGGTGGGCGGTTGAAACCCTCTTCCGCCATCAACGCCATTTCCATCACCAAAATCAATCATAAACTGTAAACTCAGAACTCCCTGCCTATCAATGCGGATACTAACCTTGCTTGAGGCCGCCATCGCACGAAGAGCCTTGTAAATAAGTGCAAATCTGTAACTCTGGCGGAACCTGGATCTGGATGGCGAATTGACGAGGAACGTCTCTGTTACAGTAGGAGCAAGCTTCCCGCGCCTTGCTTGTTGTTTTGAAGGTGAACTTGTGCCATCTTCCAGTGTTTTGTAAACGGGTACATTGGCGCCAGCGGTGGAAGGGTCTTTATCGATTGAAAACTCGATGGTCGATTCGCTAAAAGGACCTCCAGAGGCGGAAAGAGCGAAGTATGGCTCCTTGGTCGCTGACACGCTAAAAGACAATGAGGTTGGATTCGTGGAGTCTAATTCCAGAATGGCGTTGTGAAGCCACATTGAACGCATTATGGCTTTGAATACGATGGCATCACGCTGAAATGGAATATCGGTATCTCCAACTGAGGAGTCGAAATCGATGTCATCCGGTTCGTACGTTGTCAATTCGCATGTGGTGGTCATACCAGCTTCGGATAGAGTGATAGTAAGTGGTGATCCTTGCATAATGTAACTGATTGTGCATGTGCGGTTTAGGAGTAATGCAGGTCCTGAGAAAGCGTTGAGGGCGGTTGAGGTGGCCGGATTTGGAGTCGGATTGGTAAATGAAGACGCATCATTGAGACCAAAGATCTGGAGTGTCTCGAGTAGGGCAGAAAGAGATATCAAAAAGAGAGGGGAAACGTAATTGTCTAGACCATTTTCATCCTCTACGGTATCCTCAAGGTTAGTCCCTGATGGTGGGTGGAATATGTAGTTGGTGAAAAGCTTCTTATCAAGAAATGCGACGCCTTGCATTACTCGTCCATCTTCAGCGGAGAAGCGAATCCCTTGTGAAGTGATCTGAACTGAAGCTTTTGAAGAGAATCCAATGCATCGCAAGAGGACATATAATTGCTGGACAGAATTGGAGACCGCCGAAAATATGGGTCGGTCAGCCTGCTCCATGACCGACTACAGCTGGTGGGTTTTTTTTTTTTTTTTTTTTTTTTTTTGGGAAAATGATGTGATTGTCGGTAGTGTGGGTAACAAGCAACGGTATCTAGAAATAAAAATCCCTCAACTTCGATTTGATGTACATAATTAAAGGAAGTTCAAAATATGACGACTTGATGGGTTTGATAAAGCGCTTATGATTAAACGTAGACCCCTACTGCACATATCATGAAAACTGCTCCAAACCTGCTCCAAATTAGATTTTAAACACACTGTAAGTTACATTAGGAGTAATGTTAAAGGTGCATACCCAAATGCCAACGAAGCCGGCACACCAAACAATGGTACACTGACAAAGGATCGATCTTGACGTTGATATGTTAGTATGTATGAGAGGCGCCGGTTCGAAACCTCGCTACTCACTGATACCGAAAAGACCAGCAAGGACAGCAGCTATTAAAAGGAGTTAATCCACTGAATCTATTTTCATATCCTCTGAGCTAGCTTACTGGTCAATAGGAGGGTGAGAGCAACGAAGAAGTGACTATCCTTCGACACAAGGGGATAGAAGGGCGTTCCACCGGCAGAATCCCAGACCTTGTTCAGCGACATCGGTGCAATTGAATTGGGCAGTAATCAGGTGGCTCAAAGCTACTAGTTAACGAACAGCGCGCAGACGTTGTCACAAACAAACTACCGATCCTGATGTTAAGAAAATCAGAAATGAAGCTTCTCAGACGCACTTTGGCATATTTCCTCTTCTGGACTGGCGTATTTACTTGCACATATCGGATAAATATATTGCCGACACTAGCAGGAAGCGCGAAATCACGGGACTAGGCATACCGGAGAGTCGGGGCCTTGGGACGTCGTGATGACATTGGGCGATATAGGTCTCGTCCCCAGGTTTTATCAGCCGTGATCGAAAGAAGATCAATTGTGAACCATGGCGCCAATTTCTGTTGACCGTGAGTTGCTCATTGAGTGTTAGACGCGTTGGATTCTGTGAATTTCACCTGACAACCGCGTTCTAGGTGGCAAGCGGAAGGCTTCTGAAGAGCGGCCACCGGAGGATACTACTGCTCACCGAAGCAAAAAGGCGAGAACGGAGTCTCCTAAGAAAGAAGACCAGGTTTGATACCTGACTACCCCGAGAAGGCATTCAGTGGTTTCAGACGACTAACCACTCGCTTCAGGACGATGACAAGCACGCTCTCAAACTAGTACCTTACCCTGAGAAGGTTGGTTGTTTTTGGCCCTTCAGCCCTTCATTTAAGTCTGCGTAATGACGTTAATACGGATGCAATGTAGCCTGCGGTTTTAGAGGAACGATCTGGGCAAATTGAATTTCGGGTTGTCAACAATGATGGCGAGAGGGAGAGCTTTATCATTCTCACAGGTCTCAAATGCATTTTTCAGAAGCAGCTGCCAAAAATGCCTAAAGATTATATCGCCAGACTGGTGTATGATAGAACTCACCTGTCCATCGCCATTGTAAAACATCCGTTAGAAGTAGTTGGGTATGTCACTATCATGGTCAACCCCTCCCCCGTTCGTTGGAAATTGAGAAAATGCTAACTAGAAGTAGTGGCATAACGTATCGACCTTTTAAAGGAAGGAAGTTCGCAGAGATTGTATTTTGCGCTATCTCTTCTGACCAACAGGTGAAAGGATATGGAGCCCATTTAATGTCTCATTTAAAGGTGCGCAACTACATTCGCCATATATTGGCAGGCCGTGGCAGTCACTGATTACTCTACGCAGGACTATGTGAAAGCCACTTCTGATGTGATGCATTTTCTTACATATGCTGATAATTATGCTATTGGATATTTCAAAAAGCAAGGATTCACGAAAGATATCACACTTGAAAAGTCTATTTGGATGGGCTACATCAAGGACTACGAGGGAGGCACGATTATGCAATGCACAATGCTCCCGAAGATTCGATATCTCGAGGCTGGACGGATGCTCTTAAAGCAGAAGGAAGCAGTACAAGCCAAAATCCGAGCTTTTAGCAAATCGCACATTGTCCATGCGCCACCTAAGGAGTGGAAGAACGGTGCTTTCAACATCGACCCCCTGAGTATACCTGCAATTAAAGAATCTGGATGGTCACCAGATATGGATGAGTTGGCCCGCCAACCCCGACATGGTCCTAATTATAACCAACTGCTACACCTACTCAACGACATGCAGAACCATACCTCTGCTTGGCCATTTGCTCAACCGGTTAACAGAGATGAAGTCCCTGACTACTACGAAGTTATCAAGGAGCCTATGGATCTTTCCACAATGGAGGAGAAACACGAAAAGGACATGTATCCGACCCCGCAAGACTTCATCAAGGATGCCAAATTAATTTTTGACAATTGTCGGAGGTATAATAATGAAAATACCTCATATGCTAAAAGCGCAAATAAATTGGAACGATTTATGTGGCAACAGATCAGAAATATACCAGAGTGGTCGGTGAGTTTTTTGTTAATATTCCCTGCTGTTTGGTTAAGTAGGCTAATTGATAATGAACTAGCACCTGGCGGAGTAACAGGAGATTTAATTTTATTCTTCACCTATTGTATGATTCCTTACGGGTGTATGTGGGTTTGGATTGGAGTTCGGATGCAATGATGACATTTTGAGGCATTTACTCGGACCACCTTTGGTTTGTATGTACTTGTACATGCATACATATTTGTAGCACGCGCTGTTCACAACTTATGCTACATACATAGATACCCGATGACTATTTCATTACAGTACATAAGCTATGATCTTATAGTATCCGAGATAATAACAGATTAATATTAGAGCATTGCCTCGTAGCTAAACCGCTAAGGTTTAAATTAAACTCTTGCGATCATCGGTAGCCAATTCCCTCCGGAGAATTGATATCCCGCGGATTGCTTAATTTGACAACGTGTCTTGGAACAATGTTTTTGCCGACGCGTCAATTAACGTTAGCTCACCCTTCGAATAAGCGCCAAACGACAACATTCGTTCGATTGGACTGCGCTGTGGCTTTCGTGCCATGAAAATCATTCGTTTTGCCGAACCCATACGTCGTTCTTTTGCGGTTGCCACGATTGGAATCTTTTAAATGGACCGCTAGCTGTCATTTGTAGTTGATGGTTTACCGTCTGGCAAGGAAGTTCCAAAAATCAACACTGACGACAAAATTGAGCTCGTTCAATTCTTAACGACAACCCTTTGCGCCAGAGCGATTCATTCCATCTACAGATCTCTGTATAATATCAATAATCAATACATGTGTTGGACGGCCTTTATCAGACTGCGCCATATTCGATTTATGAAGTGCCTTTATTGAACCCCTGACAGTTCTACCACTCATTCCACGATCGATACATAATACACTCATTAATCATGGCTTCGGATTTCGCAGAATCGGAGCCCCGCAATAGGCTACCGACTCTTATGGAAGTGCTCCATCGCAGGACTCTTGCTCCTGTCGACCTTTTTTCATTCTACATCTACATGAGAGACCAGCAATGCTCTGTCGATTACCTAGATTTCTGGTGAGTTCATCTCAATATATTCGCCATAGTATTCAGTTCAATTGCACTGATTTGGATGATAACGTATCAGGCTAGATGTGTCACAACACATGTCACTCTGTCGCCATTACGTTCGTGAACTACGTCGCTCTGTTCTCCTTGAGACGCCCGATGAGCCAGAAAAGGCGGGTAGCCCGCGCTCTTCTAATGCTTTCGAAACTGATTCTATGGGAATTGGGCCGTCTGGGCCTGGAAACGGCGACAGTCGAGACCGTGATACACGGTTGTCCGCCTTCCTGCGATCTGATGGCTACACATCTGGACATTCGTTAAAAAGCATGGATTCGAATCCATCGTCCCGCCGGACGGTGTCGAGCGATCGCTCATCTCGCCCTAGCAATCAGATAGCCTCTCATAATGGGGCTACCAATTCCAACTCGCCCGGGCACACAGTTGCACGAGCTGATATCCGCGCCAGCGCGGAACGAATTCTGTACACATATCTTCTCCCAGGCTCTGAAAGAGAAGTCATCCTCCCAGAAAATATCGTGGGAGACATTGTGCATATGATTGAGCAAGAGGGGAGGGACGATCCGGAAGTTTTCGACACTGCAAAGGATTACGTCTTTCAGGCAATGGAGAGAGACGCGTTTCCCGGGTATTTACAGGCTAAGGCATTGGGAAATCTTGTCCCACCCAGTATTTTGGCACGTTTGGCTCTTGCTCTACTGAGTTTTGGCGGTGGCTTTTGGGCCGCATTTTACGTAGTTCTCACCGATCAACCGAGATCGGTTAGGTGCTGGGTAAGAGGCTTCTGATAACGTCCCACTCTGGATTTTATTTGTGGCTTTGTTTGCTAACGAGTTCTTAATATTTTGCCCATCCAGGTTATTTTACCTTTCATCTTTGCGGCCTACTTCCTTTCCTCATATCAGTACAAAATTGACCCGATCTTTGCCCTTGCCGGGTTCAGTGAGTACACCATTTTTACATGGGCAAGAATCCGCGAGCCGTACGTCCGATCCTTGCTCATCAAGCGCGCATCTGTGTCCCTACTTCTTGGAGCCTTCATTGCCGTGGCCATATGTGTCTTGTTTATTTTTGTTCCTGGAACCCAACTTTAGAGGGTTGTGCATGGATGCTTTTCTTTCCTCACGGCTCTTTTTCGTTCCCATGTCAAATTCCTCATCTCTTTTTTGTTTACGCCAGCGCTCCGATTCCAAAGGCAGGCCAGCCTATTCTTGGACAGTTTTGTTCGCACTGGCGTAAAAGGAGGTTGTTTCGTGTCAGATTTCCCATGGGTTCATTAGTTTCAAGAGTCAGCAGCGGCGTTTCGGGAGTTCGCCGTCCACGTATCTAAATGTTTATGGCCTACAAGTTGAGTCTCGGTTGACCATTTCATTGCCATTTCCATAAGGGAACAACTCCAAAAAGAAAATTTCCCCTATTTTGAGACCCTGGCCTCGCTAACTAAGTCAGGAAACGCCTTCATGCAATGCAACAAGGCGTGGTTCTCTGTCTCGCTATCCATGAGGGGCTCTTCCCCCATTTCCTCCGTTTATCACCTCTTTCCTGCCCCCATTTTATGACCCTGAACCTTTTCCTTTTATCTAGTCCGTTTTCTCAGTTTCTTTTTATTTCCGAATATATGACCAGTCGTGTCGGTTTTTTCCGTCATTTTCTTCTGCAAGTTAGATATTCCGACAGAAGGTTTGATTTGATGTATGTAGAGGTCGTCAAATAGTGAAAGAGGCAATCATCATTCTTTTTTGAAGACATTTCACAGATCCGTTAGCCAATAAATGTATCGATTAGTAGATACAACCTCTTATTGCCTGGTTTCTATTGCCCCTCTGTCACCCTCCTCTTATTCAGCTCCTTCCAGTTAACTTATTATGATGAAAAGACTAACTAGTTAACTAGTTATTAAGGCCTGGATGAATTGGTCAAAATATCGGGTTTGATTCCTAGTGATGTATCGTGGTCTTCTCTCCAGCTCTCATCTTGCAAATATAATTCCTCATGTATTGCATTTGGCCACCAGCGACTAGCACCAAGCAATTACTCCATAGCCTCGATTTTCATAGAATTGAAAAT